AACCCAGTTGTTTACTGCAAACAACTACCGTAATATGGTCAACATTCCTATATTAATGAATGGCAATCCTCCTACTGAGTCCTCAAAGGAGTTATCATCTCTAGTTCCATCAACTAAATTTCATTCTCGTTTTACAGGTCATACAGCTAAGTCTCATTCGTTTACTGTATCTGTCCCTGCATGCTCTAAAAACTTTTATTCATCTAGTTTTTTTCCTCCCACTTCAATCCTTTGGAACTCTCTCCCATCTTCATGTTTTCCTGACTCATACAACCTTCAACTTTTTAAATCTTCTGTCAACCGTTTCCTTGCTCTATAACTCTGTTCTTTTTTTCCTAGTAACTCCAAACTTAATAGTGGTTGCTTGCAGCCTTGTTGGGAGTGAATGCAAATAAAAAAATAAAAAAAAAGTTAAATTTTTAAAAGATATTGCTGTTCTGTAAATTTAAACTAGTTTTTGTCTCACTAAAAGTTTCAAAATTTTTCTCCTCTAAAGATCCTAGTCCTCTAGAGTTCAAATCGTTCGTGGTCTACAAATTCATATGCACAGGATGTAACTCCTGTTATATAGGCGAAACTACTTGCCATCTCAAGACACGAATAACTGAACATTATAAGAGAGACAAAAAATCACATATCTATAAACATCTCCATGGTAATGAAAATTGTTTTATGCAATTAAATGAAAAGTGTTTTTCCGTTCTAGATTCAGCATTTAATAAGTTTGAATTAAAACTTAAAGAAAGCATGTTCATAGAATGGTTAAAACCTGGTTTGAACAAACAAGTCAACCATGTCCAAATGACACTTTCTATGAAAATTTTTTTAGCTTGTTTTGTTGCCATTACGTTATTCCAATGATATATATATATATATATATATATATATATATATATATATATATATATATATATATATATATATATATATATATATATATATATATATATATATATATATATATATATATATATAGTGCTTGAAATGAGGCAGGATGCTGTGGGTTGTCATCATATATAAATTATATAATAATTATAACAATTAGGCAGGATGGTGTTTTTAATTTAAAGAATACCATCTGGTAACTTTTTTTTCTCTTTTATATATATAAATATATATATATATATATATATATATATATATATATATATATATATATATATATATATATATATATATATATACAGGCCTTGTTTTAAATAAAAAAGTGCTTAACGCATTAGCTTAACGCGATTTTGACGTCATAAAATTATCTTTATTTTTTTTTATAGACGTTAAGTGTTTTAACTACCGCAATAAATAAATAACCGCAAACTATTTCAATTTAACAATTAACTTAAATATAAACTATAAACGTTTTAAATATAAATTTATTATGAAAATTTTGTAATGTTTTCAATAGTTATTTTATTATTAATTTTAGTTCATTATCATTTAGTAAAATATATATATATATATATATATATATATATATATATATATATATATATATATATATATATATATATATATATTAATTATTTCTGAAATTTGTTTTTGAATAATTGTTTTTAATCGTTATTGAATAAAAAATAATAATGATTTTTTTTATTTTTAATAATTTCTAGAGTAAACAAAAAATATTAACATTGATAAACGCAAACCCATGTTAATTACTAAACAACGATTTTGTTTCGACTAACAAAGAAAAATTTAAGTTTTTAAATATTTTTTAAATTTTTAAAAGCGTTCAAAAGCGTTTAAAAGCGTTCAAACTTGCGTTTTATAAAAATATAAAAAAGTTTTGTCTGCTCTGTGCATATTTTTGATACGTAGTTTAGAACGCGTTCGCTAGGAATTTAATTCATAAATTTTTTATGTTATTGTAAAAATATTTAACTTTTTAAACAAATCACAAAGAAACAGAGCTATAGAGAAAAATCGTTTTCAACGATTAAATCTTTTTTTTTTTTAATTTTAGGAAATTAAAAAAAAACTTAAATTAAATATAAATGTCTTAACTATGCAAACTCTTTTGTTAATTATTCTTAAAACAAAAAAAAACAAATACTTCTACGCCAAACTTTAATCGTGCAAACTTAAAAAAATACTCAACTGAAATAATTTAAGTATATTTAATAATTTGAATCGTATCTGTTTATAATAAACGTTCGTAAAAATTTGTTTATTAAAAATTATGTTCTTTAACTTATAAACAAACTCAAAAGTATTTTCATTCTACGTATAATTACAAAACTCTTTTTTTTTTCGTTTGAAAGCAATTTAACTTAATAAAATAAAAAAAAGAATAAATATGAGGTAATCTTTGTTAAGAATAACGTTAATTTATTTATTGAACTATATTTTTATTTTTAATTATATATCAACTTAATTAAAATATAGTAACATGTTAAAATATTTTAACATGACTTGTATTATTTATAAACCGTTGGGCAGTTGCCCTTACGGCACTATTGTTTTTGGATAATATTTTATTTTGATGAAGATCACATAACTTACATTTGATTTTAATAACGTAAGTCTTCTCTTTTTCTGTGATCATCGCATCGGCAAAGCATCGGCAAAGTCCCAAGATTTAAAAGTTTTCAAAGTAAATCTTTTGTCCTTCAAAATACAATCCATATTCGAACTTTAAACAATTTAGAGATAATAGAAATATACAAGGTTTTTATATACTAATTTGTTTTGTTTTATAAAGAAAAATACATAATCATTAGTAAAAAATGGAGACTGTCATTAAACTAAAACGTGCCTTAGTATTTATTTAACGGAACCTGTAATGTGCGCGTGCATAATAAAACCTCCGTTATATAAATATATTCAACGTAATATTAGTGTCATCAGCGGATGTTGTAGTCTACTCATGATTTCTTTACCTTATATTATAACTTGATTTATGAAAAAAAAAACTTATTGAATCGCACGCAGAAGAATTTTAACAAATTGTCTTCATTCAAATATTGCGAGTAACAGGTAATTTTTTTTTTCTGTGCTGACCCCCTCCCCCCGCATAACTTAAATTATATACTAATAAACTAATAAGAAAAGCTATATACTATTAAACTAACTATAAGCTATATACTATTAAACTAATAAGAAAAGCAAAGACATTTTTTTTAACATCTCGAAAAAATGTCTTGATATTTTTGTTATCATGATAACAAAAATATTAAGACATTTTTTGAGATTTTATTAAAAAAAAATGTCAATTCTTAATTACAAATTTTTTTGCAAATGTTTTTTATTATAAATTCAGTAAAAAATTCATAAAAAATCTATTATTACAAAAAACTTTTATATTCTGTATTAATAAATATGTAATATAGATTTTTTAAAAGTTTTTTTACTAAAAACTTTAAAAAATTACTACTTTTTATTAAAAACATTGCAAAAAATTTGTAGTTAAAGATTGACAAACAATTTTTCATGTTGCTAAATATTTGGATAAAAAGTTTAGCGTCAATTAATTGCTATAAAAAGGAAAGATATATCGCAATGAAAAGTTACAATAATTATTTTTAAAGAAAATTCTTTTTTTTAATAAATACCTTTACATAACGTTATTTAAAAGTTAATGTGGTTTTTTTGAAAATTAATTACTTCTTTTATGTTACCGCTAATTTAAAAGTTAAAAAATGATAAAAAGTAGCTTAACCAAAACAGCTCTACGCGTACGTAAAAAGCGCTTAAGGCGTACATAAATCGCTCTAGGCGTAACGCTTTAAAACAAGGCCTGATATATATATATATATATATATATATATATATATATATATATATATATATATATATATATATATATATATATATATATATATATATATATATATATATATATATATATATATGCATATAATTGCGCCTCGTAAATCAATCATATCATTTATTTATGAGATCACAGGCCTTGTTGTGAGCTTTTGTTGCGTAACAAATGTAATGCAAGTAAATGTAACTTTACTCTAATAAAGATCGTTAAAAGTTTAATTATGTCAGTTTAGTATTTTAAGTAATTAAATTTAAAACCCCATTAAAAATTATAAAATATCATTAAATTAAATGTTGTTTAAAAAAAAAAAATTAATCTTAAACTCATTTAAACTTTTTTTCTTTCAAACAATTGTTTTATATATATATATATATTTTTTTTTTTTTTTTAAATGAGGGTACACTTGTTTATGGTTAAATTTCTTAAAGGAATTTAAATGTACTTACGGCAGAGTTTTTTTAAACAATTTACACCACTACACAATAAGATAAGGTTGTCCCCTTTATAAAAAAATGTTCGTGCTACCTATAAAATTTTAGTTCGCCTGGAGACTTTGGGCAAAATAAAAATTGTAATTAAACAAAGAATACCACATTTCTTTTTCTTTTTTTTACTTTTATTTCCTTTTAAATATTTTGCTTTCATTTGCTGTGAAACCTAATGTATTTTTGCTATTTCTTACTAAATCCAAAAAAATATAAAAGTTTTTAAAATGTTATTAGCAGAACTTGTTTTTAACAAATATCAGTATTGAAATTTATCTTAAAATAAAATAAGTATAAATTAGGCAATTAAAGCGTTTACTTATTGATCGTGTTGTTTTTATTCGGTTATAAAAGTTTGGTTCGTTTTTTAAAATATAGAATAACATTCTTCTACAAAAATATTAACTGTAAAGGGAAAACCTAAACATAATATTTATAACTCGAGTTTAAGTTATTTAAAACAACTTTTTTGAATTGACGTCATTTATTAATTACAAAAGCGCATTAATCACACCACGTATTTTTTTTTTTTTTTTTCATACTAAAAAAAAACTGAAATCTGAAATGAGGTATGCGTTTTAATATTTAAAGCATGCCTCATTTTAAACATTTGCACTGAATTTTTTTTATCATTAATACTATCAAAATAAACAAAAAGAGAAATTTAAGAAGACAAAATGGTTTCTTGATTTTAATATTATATTAAATATTTAATAATTTGTAATAATGAAATGTGTTTTTTACTTTAGTTTTAAATTGTACTCGTTTACTGACTCGTCTCATGCCATACATATTTGAAGATATAGATTGGAGAGGATTTTTTTGGTCAACAGTTCCTGGTCAGGTATTTCACTTTTATTTATACTTAACTTAAACTCACTTGAGGGTTATCTTTTTTCATTATTACTTTTTGAAATTATTTATAGGGCATTGTTATTGAATAAAATGTTTGTATGCCACATATCGTCGCCTTAGAGGGCAGAGGTTCTATCTCCATTTTGGGTAGTTTTGCAGGAGAACAAAAACAAAGTTTGAGCATTAAGCATAAATCAGCAATTTCATTTTTTGTCAGTGTTAATGTTTTTTGATCAATTAGAACTATCAAACATGATAGGAATAATTCAACTTTTTTGAAATTATTAACATTGAAGAGAGTATGGCACAAATTATAAAAGTCATCATGGAGATAGAACCTTTGCCTAAATTAATTGCGAGTTGAATGGAATTTTTGAAATTTATAAACATAATGAATCCAATTAAAATTCTTTTTTAATTAATACAAAATGCTTTTTATGATTGTGTAAACTAATCAGATAATGACAATCATGGTTCAAACTTTTTAAAATTAGTAACATTTTGGGACAAATTTTACAATTACCATGGAGATAGAACCTTTACTCAAATTAACTGTGAATTGAACAGAATTTAAAAATTTGTAAACAATGTTTTTGTAATCAATATTATTAAATTCTAAGTGAAATCTTAATCTTAATTAGCTGAAAAATCAGAAAATTGTTATAATAGCAAAATTATATAACAGAATAATTATTGTAGTAATACTGAAAAAAATGACTGACAAAAAACAAAGTCTTAGTTCTAGTTATCTTCATAGTCTGAGTAACGAACAAAAATTGTTATAATAGCAAAATTTAACAGAATAATTACTATAGTAATATTGATAAAAATGACTGACAGAAAACTAAGTCTTAGTGCTACTTGTCTTCATAGTCTGAGTTAAGAACAAAAATTGTTTTAATAGCAAAATTATATAACAGAATAATAATAGTAATACTGAAAAAAATGACTGACAGAAAACTAAGTCTTAGTTCTAGTTGTCTTCATAGTCCGATTCATCAATTTCTGACTCATCAGCAGTTGGTTCTGGTAAGCTGTCTCTCATGGCTACTGCAGATGGTAGGTTGTTATACCATTGGGCATAATCTGGTGGAACAACACGCAATTTCACCATGCGCATGAGATTTTTTTTTTTCGCATTCGAAATAGGCAGGCGAGTAGGATACAATGGCTGAGGCTCTAATCCTTTGATGTTGGATCGTCGTCCTCTTCCAGACTGTACATTTATTTCCATAAAGGTAGGCGACGTAATGCTATATTTGTACTGCATAATGAACGGTCTTGACTTTTCAAACCTTGCCCACTTAATATTCAACCAGTTGACAGTTTCACCTTTAATATTTTTTGTACGATTTTTCACAATTTTACCGCAAAGTTGTTTTGAGTCAAAAAAATCGGTGTGTTGCAGTGGTTTAACAAGATATGGACACGGATTCTTGCGCGCTGCAGCAATCAGAACTTCGTATTCTCGTGTAGTGTAAATTTTTTGATGGCTCTTACTGCGTTCAATAGTACTGTGCATAGAGTCAACTTCTAAATAAGAATGACCCGACTCCATATACTTCATATCGATGCATTCCAGGTGAGTTGTTTGAACAATGTACATTATTGTCGCAACAATAAATTGGTTTCTATTTTGTCCAGAGCATGTATCACTAAAAGAAGTCACCCTCTTCACAGAAACTGGAAGAGACTTCATATAATATTACAGAGCTGTATTTATTTCATTGGCTCCTCGTTTACCTTCACTTTCGTCCCATAGGTAACAAATTCCTTTTTTGGTCGACGTTTCATAAATAGTAAAATTATAAACGGCAAGTTTCCGCATATAGAAAATTTGTGCATCACCTGCAAATGGAAGTGGTAACACTGCTTCGAGGTCAAAAGTTATAGAACAAATGGACTTGTCAGCAGCAGATGCAGTCTTATCAGAATTTTTTTCGTCCATAGCTTCCTGTTCACAAAATTTATGACTGTCATAATTTGGTCGAAGCGTTTCTTTATCATCATCACTGGCATCTCGAAAAGCATTGCAAATTGAGCATTGGTCTTTTTTGGGAATAAAAAATTTTATATTAAAATCAGTAACAAATATTCTTCGATATACACCGATAGAAACTGGATCTGTGATATTTTTCGTTGTGCAATAATCATCTTTGTATAGTCTATAAAGTTCCTCAATACTTAGTTCAGGACTAAGGTATTTTGCCTTTGATGAAGCCCAACAGTAGTGAGATTCGACCTGAGGAAAGCTTAGGATGTGCTCTCGAACTGCATTGGTTCGCATTTCTGAAGTCTTATTGGCTGGAGTTTTTCCTTTTTTTGAATTTGGTGGTATGAAAAGACCAATCTCATTTTTATTTTTTACAACAAACTGAACAGTTTTTTTGCTTATGTCCAAAGTCGTGCAAAAAAATTTTTGGCACACTCTAATGACAATGTTTTCATTCGTTTCCACTGGCAGATGATATGCACAGGATATTGTTTTTGGTCTTATTCCTGAATTGTCACGACGACGTAAAACATTGCTACTTTTTACTAAATGGCATATGAAATCTTTTTTTCTATTTTCACCCTCTAGTTAATAGTAGTAGTGTTTATTTATTTCTAGTCGTTTGGTTTCCTCAAAATGTTCTCCACACTTGAATTTGCACTTTAAACAGTTCACCATTCTAGGTGTTTTGGGCGGTACTGCTTTACCTTTTCGTGTCTAGTATGCCATTCCTTTCTCTCTTTTGTCTTTTTCAACAAATCGTTTCCAAAGATTTGGTCTTTTGCCTTGTTTGCGTCCAATTTTTGGTTCAGTGAAAGTTCGCTTTTTTGAACCATTGTTTAATTCCATGGTGAATTCTTAGAATTACGAAAAAAACTATTTAAAATTACCTCTGTTTTAATAAAAGGTTGTTTATTCATTATATTTCGTTTGTTATCGTCTGCCATTATCAAGAATTATATCATAGGGCAAAGAAGATATCTCCGGTATAGTCAGATGGCAAAGGAGATAACACCTTTGACCTTTTAGGATTCCGCACAAATGTAGGTAGCTCAAAACTCGCACAAATTTATTGCTCTTCTCCTACTATGTGGAGATAGACCCGCTGCCTAATCTGATTCTAGCACTTATAATAGATCTCCCCAAAGTCATAGTTGAATTTGAGCACAACATGGAGATAGAACCTCTGCCCTCTAAGGCGATGATATATAAAATAAGTGATACATATATATAGTTGTACATAATACTTGTAAAGTTCAAAGTATTCCAATCATTATTAACTTGATTAATGAAAAGTCTTTTTTTTTTTTCATAAATCAATATTGATCGAATGATTTGATTTTCTTGATCATAATTATTTTTAAACACATTGCAAATATGAAGGAAAGATTCCTAATTGTTGTCATAAATTATTAATAATAAAATGTTAAATTATGTCATAAAAAATTATTTATTCTTATTAAAAATTTTTAACAAAACAATTACTCATTAAAAACAAAAGACTTGCGCAACAACTTGTTTTAAAAAGACGAGAAAAAAACTTGAAAAGAAACATTTATGTCATAATATAATCATAAGAACATAAAAAAACAAGCAGAAAATATTTTTTCAAAATATCAATCTATATACTACATATTAATATATATCATTATTTAATATTATACAAAGTCAAATTTTTTTTTTTTTTTTATTTTACTTCACCTCCTCAAGGCCGAGAAGGCCACTACAGACAAGAAGGCTACTTATTTTGTGGCTATAACCCTCTCTCAACTCTATAACTCCGAAACACGAACCTTGACGAACAAGGCCGCTGCGCGGAGAAACGAGTTGAGCGCGGTACTACCAGGGACGTGGTGGGGATCGAACTCGGAAACACTCGTTAATGAAGTGAGCGCTCTACCACTACACCACTACCGTATATACAAAATTATTTTAGTCTATTAGAAATCACAACTTAAGATTTGCAAGATTTTAAAGTTGGATTTCTACTTTTTCATATTTCATTCTTTTGAAAAGCAGGTGCAATCTTACTTGATACCTGACCACGCATATTATATGCGTGGTCAGGTATCATATACCTGACCACGCATATAATATGCGTGGTCAGGTATATGATACCTGACCACGCATTGACCATGACCATATATTTCAGGTAGGTTGCGACAATTTGAGGTAAATAATTTTTTACGCAAAATAAAAACTTGAAATAAAATGAATTTTGTCTAGAACTATCGGGTGGACACGGAAAAATCTGTTCAACTTTAAATTGAGATTTCTCTAAAACCATAAATGCTTTTTATTCAATTTTTTTATCATTAAATGTGTTTACATAAATTAGAGTTTCAACTTAATTTTAAGGGGCTTGGTGGGTTGTTTGGCAAGAAATCAAACTTTATAGCGGGTTGATGCCATCATTTCACAGATTTTTTCTTTTTTCACCATATTGGTGACATTAATCCGCTTTTTTTGGTTCTTTTAATTATTTGCTACTGCACCTGTCTTACGAAGAACTCCTTTAACTACTGCCCAAAAATCTTCAATCTTGCGCTCTTCAGGACGATTTGGAGGATTTGCATCTTTAGGAACAATTTTCACATTATTATCTTTGCACCACTGTAGAACGTTTTTAAAATAGTGAGAGGCAGCAAGATCGGGCCAAAAGAGACATTGGTATTTGTGTTTTTTTATAAAAGGCAAAAGTCTTTTTAGCATTCTTTGATTGAGATTTTGATAGAGATTGGGAGTTATGGTCTTTTTAGTGACAAAACAAGAAGACTGCATACCACAGCTACAAATTGCTTGCCACAGGAAGGAACTTGGATGCAAATTTTTCTCGTCGAATATATTTAAATTGATCATCGACAGGTTTATCTTTGTTTTCATTGTAAAACTGTTGATCAGGATGTTGTGAAAAATCCGCCTTGCAATATGTTTTGTTGTCTTCAATTATGCACATATTTTTATCCACCATTATTTTAACTAACTTCTTTGCGCGTCAAATTCCTTTAATTTCACAGTTTAAGCTTCTCTTAGGTGTATTTTTTTTATGAAATGCTTTAATTCTAGCACTTTTAAGGCATTTTGATATAAAAACGAGAAGTCTTTTTTGATATAAGAACGAGAAGCCTTGAATTTTCTTGCTAGATCTCTCTGTGACTGGTTTGGATTTCTTGCTATTAAATATAAAATTGACCTTTTTGGATTTATGGAAAATTTTTTTCTTCCACTTCCAAGTTTTTTTTCGAAGCTTTGAGTAGTCTTGAACTTGTTTATATCTATGACTGTAGATTTTGGGACATTTAGCAATCAAGCGATAGGAAGTCGATGGATTTTTGCAAAAAAAATTCACAACTTTTTTACGCACCTCTATTTGTTTCCAAAACATTTTGCAAATCATTAATTTGTAAGCAAAAATTTACCAACACCATTTAAGATAAGGAAGTAAGGTTTAATTAAAAAAAAAATTAAATAAAAAGCATTTGTGGTTTAGGAGAAATCTCAATTTAAAATTGACCGGATTTTTCCGTGTCTACCCGATAATATTTTCTTAACTTCACTTTTTTATAAAATTATGCAACATTTTAAATAGTTTATATTTAAAATGTTATTATATTTAAAACTTATTATTAACTATTGTTTAAAAAAGAAACAAATGTACACTCTAGAACATTATTTTGCATAGTCAGCGTATTTTTTAAACTAATAAAATTTGTTTGTAGATTTTAATGTTTGCGAATAGTCTTTATTCCACCAAGATCTTTTAAGTACATTTAAGTTTTTTTATGTTTCCATGTATGTCTGTAAAACAAAGTTTTTTCAAATTTAAACATTTAAAACTTCAAAAATAAACTTGAGTGTTTTAAATTTATGTTTTCACGTATGTTCGCATAACAAAATTTAAAAAAAATGTTCTCAAAACATCCAATAAATGTGGCCAAGTTGTCACAACTAAATATTATTTTCATGGTCAATAATCGAGTGCGATCACATCTGCTTTCCGCACAAGCCTGTAGAACTGTTTTTGTTGCTCTTTTTTAAACTTTTTCCAAATAATATATATCCTGTTGTTGGCAAGGATTCCAAATTAAATTTATACCATGTTGTTGGTGATGATTCCAAACTGAGATAGCATTTTCTAAATGTGGTCTAATAAGCGTTTTATATAATACTTTCATGGTGCAAACATCTAAGTTTCTAAAAGCTCTATTAATCATCCCCAAAGTTCTGTTTGCATCATTAGCTTTTTTTATCACTTGGTCCTGCCATTTTAGCATATTTGCTATAAGAATACCCATTCTCTCTTCTAAAGATCTCTTTCCCAGATCTTTTTATCAGTTTTTTGAAGTTCTGTATGTTCATTATTATTAGTCACATTTTTGATAAAATACTTGCATTTTTTTTTCTAAAGTGAATAACTTTACTATTTTTCATTTAAACACATACACCATACACCATACACCATTTATCTGCCCATGGTTGCATAGATAAAATATCATTTTGAAGCTTTGATCTCTTTGATTTATTGTTAATTGGTGTAATTAATTTATTATCATTGGCATATAGTTGTAATGGAAATTTTTTATGTGTTTTGTAATATATACAACAAATAAAATTTGCCCTAAAACAGTACCTTGTTGAACTCTGCTTAAAACTTCTCTCTACTCCAATGTATACATTTTTTTTTTTTTTAAAGTGAATAACTTTACTATTTTTCATTTAAAAACAAGTGGAAAGCCGCTAGTATATATTATGCAAATACTAGCTTTTTCGACTTGTTTTTATGAAGTATGTTTTTCCTTGTTATTTTGTTATGGTCTCAAAGTTACATTTAATTCGGACCGTAGAGAAAACTTTATTTTTCGGAAATTTCGATTTAGATATGGTCTCAAAGTTACTTTTAATTAGGACCATAGAGAAAACTTTACTTTTCGGAAATTTTGATTTAGATATGGTTTCAAAGTTTCTTTTGGTTCGGACTGTAGAGAAAACTTCACTTTTTAACAATTTTTTTTCCCCGCTTTCTACATCGTTTTTATATCACAATTTATATCATTGTTATATTACCCACAACTAACTTTTTAACCACTCATTTGGCTTAAAATTATCTGGTTTTATTACAATATTTATTTAGTCTTATTGCTATATTTATTAATATAATACTTATCTTCTGATTTTCATATTATTACTGTTTACAGAAACTTTCATGTTATATTATCTTGCATTCATTACTCAGCTTTGTTTTAATTTTCACATGCACAATTTTTATCTTTATTATTATTCAGAGAATATTTTTATATCCTTCATTTAATGTTTACATATATGTCACTTATATTTTTAAGGTTTTTGTGCAACGTTCTTTTTCGCTATCATATATTATTCTATTATTGTTATGATTTTGGGTTACGCGGGTTACTCATTTTCCTACACTTTTGATTGGTTATCATATTTCGAATGAGCTATCTATGACAGCGTTAGAGTTTATTTAAGGGTATTGTTTTGTTTATTAAAAAAAAAATTTATTGAGGTATACTTCTTTCTGATTATCTTGGGCTTGTATTAAAGAAAATGTTTAAAAAAAAATATTTAGGCTAAATTTTTTTGAATAAAACTATATAATGAATGCACACCATTAAATTTAAGCATAACATTGACAATAAATTAAAATTCGATAGTAATGCAAAGTGCTCAAAACTATTGTTTTTGTAAGTAGTAATTAAAACATTAAATCCAAAACAAACCTTATTTAATGAATAAAAATAATATTTTTTCTTCAAAATACTTTGGTAATTACTTAACTTAATACTTAACACTTCTACAAGTTAAGTTTTACAGTGTTAACACTGTTTTATTTTATAACTAAATTTAAAATTTTTTTTATGATAGATTATTCAAGATTTTTTAGCTTTGTGACAACTTTTTTATTATTACACAATATAGCTCTTATATTTTCTTGATTATGTAGAGAATTAATTAAACCTTCAGGACAATGTGTCAAGAATGGAAGTTTATGTACAAAACAAGATAAATTGTAGCATACTCGAAAGCATACTCAAAAACAGCTACAAGCGGCTTGGGGTAGTGAAAAAGTTAAACCATAACTAAATGTAAAAAAAAAATTTTATATATATATATACATATATATATATATATATATATATATATATATATATATATATATATATATATATATATATATATATATATATATATATATATATATATATATATATATATATTTGTATAATTTTTTACTAAATCGCAAATATTTTTTGTGATTTAGTAAAAAATTATAAAAATATTTTCTTTTTTGATTGTAGTAGAAAAAATACTTATATCTTTAAAAAAACAATAACAAAAAACACTATCTTAAAAAGATATATTGATAATGTCATATGCCGAATCTATTATGAATTAACACGCATAGAATAAACTATGAAGTCTGCAGATTGTGGCTAACATTATACAGACCCTGAGAACCAAAAAAAAAAAAGAGAAGGCGAGCTTCGACTAAAACGATAATTTTAATTTTGTTGGTATGCATTTATTATTTTGTTTCAATCAAAAAAATTTAGCCAAAATGTTTTTTTTTAAACATCTTTAATATGAATACAACTTGGCAGTCTTGGCAGTTGGGGATCCCTTTAAATGTATTTATATATTATAAATCACTATTACATTTTTTTGGTAAAAAACTTTTTTTTTAGAATTAGTCAGGCATTGGCGTATATAGAAGTAATTTGGGGACACCTTTTTAAATAGAAAGGTTTTCCTCGTATGTCTGCAGAAATTTGTACTGGTGTAACAGTACACAAATCCCTTGGGCGTTCTGAGGACTTCTTTTTTTATTATATGTAAGCGTCATATTCAATCACAGTTTAGGCTATTTTATTGACAAGGGAGCATGTTTTATTCAATCTTATCTCATGTTTCGTGTAATTCCCTTTACTTTTTATAATGCAAAGAACTTATGATAAAATTATATACATAATTAAGTAATTGAGTTTGGGATCAAATTTGGGTGCCCAAACTGGTATACCGGTGTCAAAATTGGCCTGGATACGCCAATGTCCAGTCAAAATCATCATGCTACAGGTAAAATTTTAGCAAATTTAATAAAAGTAGGATGTAAAGATCTTTTGCAATAACAAATGACAATAATAATGACAATAATAGCTCATACAAATTTTAAAGAAATCTCTATAGACACAAAAGGAAATGAGTTTAGTGTGCTTTACTTGTTTTTTTTTAAAAGTACTTCTTTGGGTAAACAAGATGTTTTATGAGGTCTATTTGTTGTATATTGTTTGCAATCGATAGTCTAATTTTTATGATTTGGCTCAGTGATTGTTTTATAATAATGTATCATGGGGGTCACACAGGTTACAGTTATTATATTTTTAATGAAAAAAAGTTTTAATATCAGAATACATGATTTTTTAATAATTTATATATTGCTTGTTTTTTTGTCTATTTGTTGTATATTGTTTGCATATCTATTTTTTATGATTTTTTTAATTATTTTTTATTTTTACATAGGGGGAAGTAGAACATATGGCAAATGAAGTATGTATCTTTATGTTTAAAATTTAATTTTTGTAAATAGTACATAAATTTAAAATTTACATTGTTTTTTAATTAATTTTAATTTTAGTTTGAATTTACATTGGTTTACTTAATTTACAATTCTTTGAAGCTATTTGAAATTAAAGAATATGTTATGGCAACTATTGACCAAGCATTGATATATTTATGGCCATTTGTTGCCATAGTTTTAACTTAAAAACAAATTATTAAGTTAAAATAATGCAAAGTGTTACTTGTTGCTTGTTATTACTAAAGTATTACTTGTTTGAAGTCATAGTCTTTATGAAATGAAACAATAAATAACTAACAATATAATTTAAAAAAAAATCAAATCTAGATTACAAAGGAAGAGTGTCCTTAAAGACTAATGTTAGTGAGTGTTCCCCTAAATTCATCACCATCATCATTGTTGTCATCATCATCATCATCATCATCATCATCATCATCATCGTCATCATCATCATCATCATCATTATCACTATAAGCACTGTTTTAAATAAGTTACCTACATTATTTGCTGGAATAGTTTGACTTCTAAAATACCACATGGTTTGATTTTAAGCCTCATGTTTGAAAAAACATGCTTTGGCTTTGATAAACTGTTTAATCTTTTATTAGAACAAATGTGTAGCAGATCAAACACAAATGCTACTTCAGGTGGTAAAAAGTATGTGATTAATTTTTAAATTAGATTAAATTTAAATTTTAAATTAAATTTAAATTTTAGATTAACTTTTCATTTTTAGTGACTAATTAAATTGTAATTGCTGCCAATAAAAAAAAAACTAAAGAAAATCATAAAAACTATATGATAGAAGATAGTGTTACATAAGTCTTTGTTTAGTTTACAAAAAAGTTTAAAAATATTTGATAAAAATAAAAATTGGTTATTTTAATAATTATGTTTAAAATGGTTCTCAAACTTCCTTTATTCATTCTATTTTGTTACAAATTTTTTTTTTTTTTTTTTTATATCACAGTAAGTAACGTTGCTTGGTAAGTAACGTAACTTGTATTTTTATTGAAAAAAAAAACTTTTTCTTCTAGAATGCAGATGATGTTTCAACACCTCTTGCCCAGTCTCTGGTTGCTGCTGTGTGCGTAAGTTTTATTTATGTTTTAAATTAACAGCTATTTTGATTGTGAAGACAGATGAAATAATTTTAAAAGATAAAAAAAAATTTTTAGTTTATTAGAACAAAAAATTTAAAAATTTGTGGTTTTAATAAATATATATAAATAAAATAAAATTAATATGATTAAACTAATAGTTAAAATATGCATTTTTGTAAATCGTTTTTAACAAAAAAATGTGGTAAAGAAAGTAAAATGAAGATAAATAATGAAATAAACCATTTTGGAAGTTTAACTTTATATCCCCTTTTTTTTTTTTTTTTTTCCCCCTTTTTTTTTTTTTTTTTCAATATTAAAAACAATAAGGTTAACAAGAATAATAAAGTTATGCATAAGAATAATAAGGTTATGTGTAAGAATAATAAGGTTATGCGTAAGAATAATAAAATTATGCGTAAGAAAATTATTTTTTATGCTATTATACTTATGAATCTGCTCGTTTAAAAAAAGTTTTTTAGAACGTGCAATTTTTTAAATGTGTGCTAATAAATATTTATTAGGCATTTAATAAATATATTTATTTTATTAGGATCTACTTTTTTGTCCAGATTTTACAGTTTATGCTAAAAGAACTGGTCCAGTAAGTTTTTTTCTTTTTATTTATAATAATTATATATAAAAGTAGTAATCCACTGTTTTAACAATTTCAAGACTTTTCAACAAGTAATCACTGTTTTGATTGGTAATTCACTGTTTTAACAAGCAATGCCAAGCCAAGGCTTTTAACTAGCAATCACTGTTTTCACTGTAATCACAATTAATCTAAATTTGATTTCTTAGTAATTCACTGTTTTAAAAAGCAATGCCAAGCCAAGGCTTTTAACAAGTAATCACTGTTTTGATTAGTAGATCACTGTTTTGATTAGTATATCACTGTTTTAACAAGCAATGCCAAGCCAAGTCTTTTAACAAGTAATTCACAGTTTTGATTAGTTATTCACTGTTTTAACGATTAATGCCAAGCCAGAGATAACGTGTTCATAAACTTTAGTTCTTCAATTTATTATGATTTATAATGTTGATATAATAATTTCTTCGTTTTACTTATCTACATAACGTATGCTTAAACCAAACCCATAGTAGATTTGTGTATTGAATACCTTGTTTTTAGTAGCCAATTTTTTTCTTTTTTAATTTTTTTTCCCTGGTAAAATGAAAACATCTTATGTCATTCTTAATAAAGAAATTGAACTGCTATATGTTTAAATCCGTTTAATAAAATAAAAACATAAATCTGTTTTGTGTTAAAATACAAAACATATTTATGTGTTAAAAAACAAAACAGATTTATGTATTAAAACTAAGCATGGGCCTTTGACTTTTCTGTCCAGTAAATCTTGTTTCCGTCCATTACCGTTAATGTCTGTTACCTTAAAAAATTTTAACAGATGGTAATAACGGAAAATTTCTGTTAAAGTTTTTTAATGGACTGATATTTTTTTGCTAATTTCCGTTGATTCCGTTAATTTCATTAGATTTATATAAAAAAATTTGTTTAAGTTGTTTATAAAAAAAGTTTCATTTAATTGACGTTTGGTTGAATGAAAGACAAGGAGGAAAAAAAAATTTCAAAATATACAGTTTGATTATCGAACTAAAGGTTTTATAAAATTTATTAATTTATATAAAATTTTTAGCAAAAATTTTATAATACTTTTTTTAAAAGATAATTTTATAAATGTAATTATATAAATTTATAAAAATATTATTTTACAGCTTTAATGAAAAATTTAAAACATTTTGTACATTTGTTAAACTTATAACTTGAGTTTAAAATGTATAATTTAAATTTAAATAAGTTTTTTTTATTTAAAAAAAAATAAGTGTTTTTAGCTGATAAATTTTAGTAAGTTTATTTTTTTAATTAACGGCTGTTAACGGAGTTTAACGTCCGTTAAAATATGATAATGGCTGTTAACAGAAAATTACTGTTAATAAATTTTAACGTAACAGATTTTAACAGAAATTTCGTTAACTGTTTTTAATGCAACGGAAATTAACGGTTTTTAACGGACCGCTAAACGCCCATGCTTAGTTAAAACAGATTTATGTGCTAAAATACAAAACAGATTTATGTGTTAAAACACAAAACAGATTTATGTGTTAAAACACAAAACAGATTTATAAAAAATATGTCAGTTCAATTTCTTGTAAAATAGTTCTTTCTTAGTTCAATAGATAAAAATTCAGCAGATATTTTTCAGTGTAATAGTTTTTTGTTCAATTTATGTTTTATTTATAGTTGTAGTAAATCATATTTGATGTTTGTCAATTGGTTAATTAAATTTAAACTTAGTTTTACTGTTGGGTAATACATTTACAGTTATACTAAAGTTTTTTTACATATAATAAAGTTTTGTTACTATAATAATGATAAATAAACTATGCTATATTAATAATGATTAATAAAAAAAAATATGATGAATACTTTGTTTTATTTTATGTGTGGTACATTAAATTCTTCTATTTATTTTTATTTTTTTAGTTATATATACATCTCTAAAAATATAATTACATTTAAGAACGAATAAATATATTTTTAAATATATAATATATTTAATATAATGTTTTGGCTCTTATTTTTTCAAGGACAATCCAGAAGATCTTGCAAGTATAGATAGTTGTGCATATATTTGGTAAGTTACTGTTAAAACTGTTTTTGTTTTATCTTCTTTTTTTTCTTTCTATATTTTCAATTTTATTATTGAAAGATTATTTTTATAATTAAAGTTTACCTATTAAAGAAAATGTATTCCTTTCATATTGCAGGGAAGCTGGGGTTGGTTTTGCTGCATCTCCACCGCATATTACATTGCATGACCTACATCGTACAGAGCTTTTAAAGTTGTTGCTTACGTGTTTTTCTGAAGCAATGTATTTATCACCATCAGGTACATTGTCTTTAATTAAATATAAATTTAACTAATTTTTTATAATAAATTTTTACAAAAAATGAAAAGAAGTAGTATTAAATAAAAATGAAAAAAAAAAAAAAAAATGAACAAAATAAATTTAATAACAAAACGAGGTTAATGAATGCCAAGTAATTTTTGAATAACAAAATAAATTTAATAACGAAATGAGGTTAATGAATGCCAAGTAATTTTTGAATAACAAAATAAATTTAATAACAAAACGAGGTTAATGAATGCCAAGTAATTTTTGAATAACAAAATAAATTTAATAACAAAACGAGGTTAATGAATGCCAAGTAATTTTTGAATAACAAAATAAATTTAATAACGAAATGAGGTTAATGAATGCCAAGTAATTTTTGAATAACAAAATAAATTTAATAACGAAATGAGGTTAATGAATGCCAAGTAATTTTTGAATAACAAAATAAATTTAATAACGAAATGAGGTTAATGAATGCCAAGTAATTTTTGAAATAGTTACTACTGGTTGTTTGTTTTTTTGCGTCAGTTTTTTTCTTATAAAAATGCAATGGCATCTTGATTATATGTTTAAACAAAATAAAATTTTAATTTTTAATTATGGTTCTATTTTATTTTGTAGAAGCTCCTATAGTAGAAAAAACTCCTATAGAATAGCTTCAGTTTAATTTTGTAGAAGCTCCTATAATTTTATTTTGTAGAAGCTCCTACAGCAGAGAACAAGTGGCTACAATATTTTGCCTCTTCAGAAAACAGGTTTGTTCATAAAATCTTAGTCAATGTTTTGATCATATAATCTCATTGTTTGTTTTAATCTCATTGAATTTTCAAAACATTTTTTGTCTAGACATGCTCTTCCTCTATTTACTTCGCTAATTAATGTGGTTTGTGCTTATGACCCAATCGGATATGGTGTGCCGTAAGTTTTTGAATAATTAATCATAATTTACTTTGTTTGGGTCCAAAAGAACCTGACTATTACAAAACTTTAATAGTTAGCTATTTTTTTAATATTAAATAATAAAATATTAACATTGATAACACAAAAAAACTCTAGAAATAATTTTTCCATTATAAGCATACTTTAATTCTAGATTAAGGCCAAAAATGTTTAAATTTAATTCCTATTTGGGTTAAGCTATACAGTACAGTACAATAAACAAAATAACAACTGCCTCATCATCTGTTGCAATCAGTTGTGTAGCTACATCTGCAGATGACATATAAAGGATTTTTACACTAAAAACCATTAACAACTCAATTTGTCAATTTTGTCACTAATACCCTTTAACATGACCTGATTCAAAATATCTAAAAACTGTAAATTTGCAAAACTAACTTCTTAATTAGATTTATTAATTATAATTTAGAATTTTAGATTTTTTTAATTACAACTTTAATTTAATTTCCTCATTTTTACTTTTATATATTTAAATCCTAAGTTTTAATTTGATAATCAAATATAAAAAATGTTTTATTTGACATAACCTAAAAACTGTCAAATGGGTTGACCACTAAATGTTATTTATTTTCATTAAAATATTGCACAATTTTTATAATTATAACAATAAGAACAAAAAAAACCTTGTGAACAACTAAAATCTGTTACTTTACCTTTTTTGATCACCCTAATATATATATATATATATATATATATATATATATATATATATATATATATATATATATATATATATATATATTAATATATATAAAATTAATTCCCAATAGCAACCCTGGTGTCTACAAAATCACATGCTCTTGTGGTGGTATACACATTAGCAAAATAAAAAAATTTTAAGGAGATGCATTGAACATAAAAAAAGACATTTAAAAGGTAAGTGGGATGTATCTGAGGCAACCAAACATGGTAGAGAATGTAATGGTATGATGAATGAAAAGTGGGAGAATCACTTTAAATTAACTACGCTACAACAGGGCTCGAATTAGCCCAAAAAATCTAATTGCAAAAAGTTTTTTTTTAAACCACCCCCCCCCTCCCCATCCCCATCCTTGGTGCCGCTTTGCGGTAAGTGGGGTTGCCTTAGTATTAGATTGTATCTAATGCTAAGGTTAGTTTGTAATTGCTATTTTTTAAACATAATATTTCTTATATTTCAGTATTATCTTATATATTATGTTACTGTTATATGTTAGCTTAATTTATAATTCAAAGCTTAAGTTGCACCTATACTATAATGAGCAAGTAACATATTTAATACTAATTTAATAAAGCTTAGAGTAATTTTTATTTCTTAAGATGCTACTTAAAAAAGTAAAAAAAAAAATGCAAATATTACAATATATAAACCACTTTAAACAGTTATAAATAACTATTTAATACATCATTCATTCTGGTGATAAAAAACGTTTTATTTTTAAAGTGTATTAAATTGTTATCATAAAATGCAATAAATCAACAGTTAAACTGCGAAGTTGTCAATATAAAATGCTCGTGTTAAAACAACTTTAATAATCATAAAACAAATTTGTTACACTATTTAATTGCTGCTTTATACAGTTTATACCATTAATAATCATAAAATGCATTTAAAATAAAACAAAGTAAATATAAATGTTCTAATTACTAAATTAAATAATTGTCATAAAACTTTGAACATTTGCATAAAAGCATGCTTGATCCTTGACCAAAAGAGTAAGATCAAACTGAAAAACTTTTAATTTCATTTTTTTTCAAATTTATTGCTTTTTGATCTAGCGCACTATTAAAAATTTAATTATAATTAATTTTTTTATTCAAATGGTTTTAAAGTTGATGTTTTTATTCAAATTTTTTGTTCAAATAAATTTTTTTGCAATAAAATGAGAGAATTTGGTTTAATAGTCAAATTGTTTTGCGGTAGTGATGCGGTAGTGGTGTAGTGGCAGAGCGCTTGCTTCATAAGCGAGAGGTTCCGAGTTCAATCCCCACCACGTCCCTGGTAGTACGGCGCTCAACTCGTTTCTCCGCGCAGCGGCCTTGTTCGTGAAGGTTCATGTTTCAGAGTTGAGAGAGGGTTATATAACCACAAATAAGCCTCCTCTAGAGTTGAGAGAGGGTTATATAACCACAAATAAGCCTCCTCGTTTGTAGTGGCCTTGAGGAGGTGAATTAACAAAAAAAAAAATTGTTTTGCAATGAGAGAATTTGGTTTAATAGTCGAATTGTTTTGCAATAAAATAAAGTGAGAGAATTTGGTCAAATTATAATTCCATAAGTTTAAGTATATGCTTATATTTTTCTTTTTGGAAAATAATTTTCTGAACAGAAATAGATTTTTTTTTTTTTTTTTTTTTTTAATTTAAATCGTATAATTTAATTTATCAGTGGTAAATGTTTGCAACAGAATGTTTCTAGTTTTAAAACTATTTTCAAAAAAAATAAAAATAATGAGGCCTATACAAAAAAAAAGCAAAATTATATAAAAAATTTTTTTTGGTATAATTATCGGAAAAATACACTTTTTTTATTTTTATGTTAAAAAAGGTCATTTTTCTGCAAAAAAAAACTTTAAAATAATAATTTTTTTTTTAAATGATTGTTATTTTTGAAATTTTTATATAATTTCGCTTCTTTTGAGACCCAACATGACATACTTTTGAGAAAAATTTTTTAATATTATTAGGGACCCAGTAAGTGTTCAAGGGTCTTGTGCTCCCCTTAAATCCAATAAAATTTTTAAAAAATTTAACAGAGTTGCTTGTGAGAATCAATAGAAAGTTTTAAGAATATGAACAGATCTTTTTTAGAATATAAGGGGCGGCTGGAACACCCTAATATATATATATATACAAATAGTATTGCATACTAAGGTAAGCAATCTGACGTCATACTAAAATAGCCTGCTGCTGGGGGCTTCAGTACATACATCGACTGACAAATAGCCTGACTCGCAGTGGAGTGCTGCTACATCGACTGAAGGTTTGAGATGGAGCAGCAATCGTTTCATTCATCATTCTTCATTTTTTTTCTTCTTTTTCTAAAAAAGCCGTATGGGTTAAGGTAAGCAAAAAAAGTGAGCAAATGCTTATAAAAATACGCTTTAGTAAGTGTATATATATATATATATATATATATATATATATATATATATATATATATATATATATATATATTTATATATATATATTTTAGATACAATTATGTGATGTTTTCTGATACTCGCGAGCCAATGATAGAAGTTTCATTACAGCTTCTTATAGTGGTTTTGGATTATGATATGGAGCATCAGCAAATCATGGACCATGTTAATAATCCAGATCAAGTCTATGAGGTTTGTGTTTTTACATACAATAAACAAAACTTGTTTGTGGAGTTTGTTTTGCATGCAATGTCACTGATGACTTTATACTGAAATAATCATAGGTTTGCTTTAATGTATACATTACTAATGACAGTTTGTGTCTGTCATTAGTTTTGTATACAATAACTAATGACAGTTTTGTGACAATGATGATGATGATGATGATGATGATGATGATGATGATGATGATGATGATGATGATGATGATGATGATGATGATGATAATGATAATGATGATGATGATGCATTCAAAACTCATACTATACTTAAATAAAATTAATACATGTCTTTTTTATAGGGACATGGTCCCGAAAATCTGTTTTGTAACTATTTGACTCGAATACACAGAGAAGAGGTAAAAAAAAAAGTCCAGAATTAATCTAAGATGGTAAAAAAGAAAAAGAAAATGTTAATAAACAAAATTTTTGTTTAGGATTTTAATTTCATTTTGAGAGGAATTACTGGTTTACTTCAAAATCCCTTAATACAGGTTTTTTTTGTTTGTTAACATAGTAGCTTAGTGGTATACTAAAACCTTTCTTTCTCCGTTATTTTTTGTGTGATGGTTATGCTGTTTAGTTAGAGCATATTACTTAGCTTTACTATGTGCATAATAACATTTTATAATAACTTTAAATAGTAACATTAAATAGTACATAATATAATAGTATACAAATTTGTATTTTGTGTTTAATCTTTAAAAAAGTTAAATGTAAAATTTGAAAACTGTTAAAGAAGATAAATAAACTGATGTTTTTGTGTTTTAAGACTTACTTACCTAACTCATGCAAAAGAATCAATTTTCATCAAGAGCTTTTTGTATTATTTTGGAAACTTTGTGATCTAAACAAGGTAAATAATATTGTTTTTTTTATTCAGTTCTTGTTAATAATTAAGCTTTTTCTTGACCTATCTTTCCTCTTTCAGGAATGATACATCAGGGGTTATATTTAAAATAACTTTTTGCAGTCAAGTTACTGTTACTAGTTACTTTATTTCAGAACACATTTTAAATATTGTTTTTCACATTTTAAATTTCACATTTTTCTTATTTAAAAAAAAAGATTAAACAGATTTATAACAATAGTTTTACTAAAAATTTTAAATAAATTTTACTATACAATTTAAATTCATTCACCAGGGTTTTGTATAAAAGTTGTTTTTAGTGTATGTGGAAGATATCTTAAAGTTTCCGATAAGAGTAGTTGATAAAATATGCAAGTAAAATATTCATATTTTATATATAAAAACCTTGCATAATTTACATATAAACATAATATATGAATTTTTATGCCATTTGGTTAGTCTTTGTTTTAACACCAAATACTTACAAAAAGCAGAGCCAATGATGATTACAGATTGTTTAAAGGGATCCAAAACTTCCAACACATGTTGTGTTCATATTAAAGATAATGTTAAAAAAAAAGGTTTGAACCAAGTTTTTTTGATTAAAAATAAATAATGAATGCATACCGAGAAAAACTAATATTGTTGTTTTAGCCGAAGCTCGCCTTCTCCATTTTTTTCATTAACTTGGAGTCTTTAAATTAAACGTCAAAATCTACAGGCTTTGGCGATTCCTTTGAAGCGCGTTTAATTCATAAAAGTTTTAGCATTTGACGTCACGGTAGATTTTTAACAAAAGAAAAGTGTAATTAAACAAAGCTGCGTTTTTCTACTTAATTCAAAAAGTACGATGTAGTAATTTTTTTAAATACAGCAAAACAACTTTTACAATTATAATAAAAGATTTTTATTTCATAGGAGGAACTTTTTTTTTACCGATATCTTAATAATTTTTAGATTTATATATCTTATAATTCTTTTGTTTTTAAATTAAAACAAATATTAAAGCTTTACTTGAGAATCTTTTGATTTTCATACGAGTGTTTTACATTATATAGAACCTTATGTATACGGTCTCTCGTTTTTGTGCAAGAGAGCGCAGTATTAAATATTCTGAATATATCTTACTTATTTTACTAATCTTACTTATTTTTATTTAAACAATGGGAACTTTTTTCTAACTTCTCTGGCTATTTTTACGCTATGAAAATTTTTGTTTTCCCATCAAAAAAAAGTATTTATTAACAATTATTTTGTAAACTGACAGTATTAATTAGAGATATTTGATGAATTGATAACTTTTTTTATTATAAAAATTTTTTGATTACATTGATTTATTTTAAATTGCTAAATTTGCTGAATTGGATACAGATAAAAAGAAAATATCATTTTATTTTACATTTGATTTTTGATAATGAAACTTTAAAAATGTCAGCAACTCGATACCAATTAGAACCTGTTAAGGTTATGACAAAAAAGTACAAGAATACACTAAACAATAAAATTGACAGTAGTATCAGATATGAAAACTTGTGAAAGTGAGATCCTGGTTTTGCATTAAAAGTACAATCAATAGCAACACAAGTCAGCATTATAAATTTTGATTTTACTTTGAAGTTTACTGTTCAATATTTTATAGCCATCAAATAAAAAACATGAAGTTTGTAATTTTCGCACGTTTTATACAACTAATATTTAACAAAAATACGGAAAAATTATTATTATATAACGCAATAATTAACACATTAATTAATGGCAATAATTCAATATAAATGGTAATTGAAATTGTCAAAATATCATAATGCGCGTTAAAAAACATATTATGTTTGGTATTTCCCAATTTGTGTCGTATTTGGCACTTGTCTCTTAACATGAAAAATTGAAATTTTTTTAAAACACAACAAATACAAATTTTCAAGCTATTTTCTCTTCCAATTTTCATTTATTCAAAGAAAAGTTACAAATAAACTTTTATTTCTCTTATCTAAAAAAAGTGACGTAAAAAAAAAAAAATTCTATACAACTCTTATTCATTCGAAATTTAATTAAGCAAAACTTTTTTTTCTCTTTTTTTCTACTCTTTTATAAAAGCAGCGAACAATGAAATAAAGACTTTTCTTTCTTAACATAAATTTATACTTAGAGATGAAATTAAATTAGAAATAAATCAACAATGAACAAAGCAACTAACAGATTAATCTGGGACTATTTTGATATTATTAAAAATAATCAACATAAACAACATTACCAACAACAATTATCAAATAAACAATACAAAATTTTAGGGGCTTTTTATTTTTATTGCTTAGTCGTTCTAAATAATAAGTAAATTTAGTTCAAGTTAATATTTCAATATTTACAGTTGGAATATAATAAAGAAATGATGTTTTATGTTGAACTTTTTATTCAGATTTTTTTTTTATACCTATATTAGTTATAAAAAATTTTCTAACCCTGTCATTAAAATAATTTGTTTTATATATTTAAAAGTTTTTATATATTTAAAAATGTTTTTTATATATTAAATATATATATTTTTTATATATTTATTGTATATAAAATATAATATATAAAAATATTTTTTATATATTATATATAAATACTTTTTATATATTTATATATATATAAATATGTTTTATATATTTAAAAATATGTAAAATATATTTAAAAGCAATTATTCTAACTAATTTTTTTCGCTTGATTTCCCGAACTTCATGCAAAGCAAATTGAGACGAAATATTGTCTAACCAAATAAAAATGCTGTTACTAATTTTATAAGGGTAATTAATGTAAAACAATTTTTTATCAGAGTCTTGATTGAGATAATAGATATTCATAATTTATAAACATTAAATATATGGCGCAATAACAATTTATAGCAACGAACCAGCATAAAATATTTGAGGTTTTTAATATCTTTTTAAATGTTAAAAATAGAAAGAAAAAAAACGAAACAAATAATCAAAAAAAGTTTGAATAAAAAGAAATAAAAATATTTCCAGAGTTTTATTTGTTAAAAGTCTACCGTGACGTCAAATACTAAAACTTTTATGAATTAAACGCGCTTTAAAGGAATTGCCAAAGTCTGTAGATTGTGATGTATAATTTAAAGACTCCAAGTTATTGAAAAAAATGGAGAAGGCGAGCTTTGGCTAAAACAAAAACATTAGTTTTTCTCGGTATGCATTCATTATTTATTTTTAATCAAAAAAACTTGGTTCAAACCTTTTTTTTTAACATTATCTTTAATATGAACACAGCATGTGTTGGGAATTTGGGATCTCTTCAAAAATTTTAGGAACATTTGTGTGATAACACAAATGTTTTTCATTAAAAATATATAGGGGAAGTTCATGTACCTAGTGCCTCCTTATACCTAGAGCCACCCCACTTTATTTGAAAACTTTAAAGTTCTAAGTTCTGCTTCTCAGTAAGGTGATTAGTTATAAAAATATTTATTTTTTTATCCTATTTTGATTCTCAGAGAGCGTTGCTATGGCAAGTTATAATCGGAAAATGCTTTTTGATTGTCTAAAGTAAATTTTTCCACTTTTCTTAGATTGTTTTACAATCTTAGAGAAAAATGCTTTTCTATAAATTCTTTTATATTATATTGTTTGTTACTTAAGTACTAAATGCAATGTTCAAGAAGTTTCCTTTCAATCCGGATTTGTTAATAGACATCTTTTACGAGGCTATCAAGACTTGTACCTAGGGCCATATATGCGTAAAGAATTTGGTTGATAATAAGGTAATTTGTTGAATTATGATTGGTTCAGAGTTTTTTTTTCCTCTCAGTTGCTTTGGAATACCATTTTACGTGTAGACTTATTTGTCAATTTTGTTCAGAACTATTAGTCAATTTTTTATTTAAGAGTTGCAATCAAGAAACATTTTATAAATTTGTTGAAAACAATCTAAAATTAAATAAATTTTTAATCAAATTTATGTCTATCTTTTATCAATTTATTATGGAGCTAAACCTAATTTTCAGAGAGCGGCCCTAGGTATAGTTTTATGTTTATTTATGTTTGTTTGTGTTCTGTTTATACTCTAATGCAGCGTGAGCTCAGTAACTAACTACTTACTCCAACTACAAAACGTACACTCACCTTAGACTCCTGTATTTTGTTAGATGCAGTGTTTTTCCTAATGCACTTCCAAAATGTGATGCCTGGTTTTCTCAAAGTACTGTTGCGGGAAGTAACTCCTTTTAACTACTCCAGGTCAGGTCAGGATAATCAAGATCAATCTTGCTACTGGTATCACGTAACCCAGTACCACCTGCCACAAGCCCTGCTGCCTTGCAGAGTGTGCTCTTCTTATGCAAAGGCTAGGAGAAATAAACTCCGACTAAAAATTCCCCTGCCTTGGGGCTCTTGGTTGAGTAAAGGCTAGAGATGGTGTCTCGATAAAAACACTCATCTTGGGCAGATTTAACTGCATCCAGCTACTGTCTTGTAGAAGGCCTCCTAGGCAAAGACTTTAGGGGTAAGCAGAAAAATTCTGCTAACCAGCCTCGAACCCCTTCTTCATCTATTAGGCTGGCGTAGATGTAACCTGTGTTACATTGTTTCCTGCCTAGGATGATGAATGCTGGATCTTCTTGACTCTACTCATAGAATTTTGCTTATGCCTCCTTGATAATGGCTATGCAACTCTTCCTGTTATCTCCATATGAGGGTACAGCTCTAAAACTCAGTTTAATGGTTCTAAGGCCGGCTGGTAGTAAAGTTTCCCGAACTCTGTGGTAGCTCTCAGAGAGGCTGATTCCATCAACAGCTGCAAAATATCAGAGTATTAACAGTGCCATGTTGCGCATGGATGGTGTTCCTGTTAATGCTTTTGGTGTGCATTGTCAAGGCCACATAAGGAGCCCTATGTCACGGCTTAGGGTTAATTAACAGGACTCAGTTAACTGCATAGCTCATTGATTAGGAGGCTGTGCTCTATCTATGAATGAGTCAAGTTCTCATTAAACCCAAATCATGACCAAAGTAACCAAAAATTTAAAACCTAAAAAACCATCCCCACCACCTAAATATTTTAATATATCTTTTACAAATATTAGCGGTCTACGAAGCAACTTTCCATCAGTTGAGTCTTACCTCCTGCAAAATTCACCAGACTTGTTTGCACTCAGTGAAACAAATTTAAGTTCTGCAATTCCTTCTTCAGATGTCAGTGTTGATGGGTACTATCCTTTGATTCGTAAAGACTCCAATAGTCACATGCTAGGTTTAGGGGTATACATACGCATTAATTCCCCTATTTGTCGTGAAATCAGGTTCGAATCCTTTGACCATTCTTTTATGTGCTATCGCCTAGCACCTCTTCACTCTATCACCTTTCTCTTTGTTCTTTATCATTCTCCTTCTTCCCATGATTGCACTCTTTTAGATGTTATCTCTGATCAAATTGACCATGCCCTCTCTCTTTACCCCTCTGCCAATATTGTTGTTGTTGGTGATTTTAATGCCCATCACACTGAATGGCTTGGCTCTAACACCACTGATCCTGCTGGCACTAAAGCCTTTAACTTCTGTGTTTCTCAATCTCTTACTCAGATAGTTAATTTTGTGACTCGTTTTCCTGACAACCCTAATCATTTACCTTCACTCCTTGACTTATGTCTTGTCTCTGACCCTAGCTTATGTTCAGTTTGTCCCTTTTCTTCCTTAGGTGGTTCTGACCATGCAATGATCTCTATAAATCTTTGTTCTCGTACTTCTTTTTTGGGCTCACCTTATTATCGCACCACCTACTAATACCCTAAAGCTGACTGGGATTCCTTTCGTGACTTTCTTCGTGATGGTCCTTGGGCTGATGTTTTTTCTCTCTCAGCTGACAAATGCGCCTCCTACGTAACCTCCTGGATTCAGGCTGTAATGGAAGCTTTTATTCCTTCTCGTTGGTTTCAAGTCAAGCCTCATTCTACTCCATGGTTTTCTCCTTCTTGTGCGGCTGCTATATCCAATCGTAATCATTTTTTTCATCTTTTTCAAAAGAACAACTCTCTTGAGAACAAACAGCTATTTATTATTGCAAGAAATCGATGTAAAAAGGTGCTTTCTGATGTTAAACTCCATTATTCTCAGTTCACTAAATCTCGCATCTTATCGCAGAAGTTAGGCTCTAAAGACTTTTGGAAAATCTTTAACAGCATTTGCAACAAGGGTAGATCTAACATTCTATCTCTCATTCATGGTACTGATCTTATTACCTCTCCCAAGGATAAGGCAGAACTATTTGCAAAGAACTTTTCTTCTAATTCCACTCTTGAATCTTATGGACATTCTCTTCCTTCCATTCCAGTCAAACAGGTTGACCCATTGTTAGACATTCAAATCACTCTGGCTTCTGTTGCTAAAGTCATATCTCAATTAAACTCGTCTACAGCCTGTGGTCCAGACAACATTCCTGTCACAGTCTTGCAGCATTGTTCTCCAGAACTTTCTTCAATTCTCTCTAAACTATTTAACAAGTGTTTGACTGAGTCTTGTTTTCCTGCTTGTTGGAAAATGTCATCTGTGGTTCCAATATTCAAAAACTCTGGAGAAAATTTTGACCCCTCCAATTATTGTCCGATCAGTCTTCTTTCTGTTATTAGCAAAGTCTTCGAGTCTTTGATCAACAAATTCCTCACATCTCATCTTGAGTCAAATAAACTGCTGTCAGACAATCAATACGGTTTTCGATCCTCTCGCTCTACGGCCGACTTGCTAACTGCTGTAACTGAAAGATTTTATCGTGCATTAGATGGAGACAGTGAGGCTAGGGCTATTGCTCTCGACATATCTAAAGCTTTTGACAAAGTTTGGCATGCTGGTCTTCTCCATAAGCTTGCTTCATATGGTGTTTCTGGGAAAGTTTTTGAGATTATCAAATCATTTCTTTCTAACCGGTTTATTAAAGTCATCCTTGAAGGCCAACACTCTTCTTTATTTCCAGTAACTTCTGGGGTTCCCCAAGGTTCCATCCTGGGCCCTGTTTTGTTTCTTATCTACATAAACGATCTTCCTGACAACCTTTCATCTAAAGTAGCTCTTTTTGCTGATAACTTAACTTTATACTCCTGTCTTGACAAAAAGTTTTCTCTTTTCAATCGCCTAGAACAAGCAGCTGATCTTGAATCTGATCTCACTTCAGTAATATTTTGGGGTTCACAGTGGCTTGTGAATTTCAACTCTAAAAAAACCCAATTGCTTACTGCAAACAACTACCGTAATATGGTCAACATTCCTATATTAATGAATGGCAATCCTCTTACTGAGTCGTCCTCTTTACGTCTTCTTGGATTATCGCTTACTACTGACCTTTCATGGAAACCATATATACAATCGATTGCTAAATTAGCTTCTGCTAAGGTTGCTTCTCTTTATCGTGCCCGCCATTTCCTTACCTCTGATTCCATTCTCTACCTCTACAAATCTCTTATTCGTCCGTGTATGGAATACTGTTGTCATATTTGGGCTGGTTCTTCTAACGATTCACTTTCTCTTCTTGACAAGGTCCAAAAATGCATTGTAAATGTTGTTGGACCTGGAATATCTGCTAAGCTTGAACCTCTTTCCCATTGTCGTAAAGTTGCATCTTTTTCTCTTTTCTACAGATACTATCATGGTCACTGCTCAAAGGAGTTATCATCTCTAGTTCCATCAACTAAAATTCATTCTCGTTTTACTCGTCATTCAGCTAAGTCTCATTCGTTTACTGTATCTGTCCCTGCATGCTCTAAAAACTTTTATTCATCTAGTTTTTTTCCCCGCACTTCAATCCTTTGGAACTCTCTCCCATCTTCATGTTTTCCTGACTCATACAACCTTCAACTTTTCAAGTCTTCTGTCAACCGTTTCCTTGCTCTATAACTCTGTTCTTTTTTTTTCCTAGTAACTCCCAACTTAATAGTGGTTGCTTGCAGCCTTGTTGGGAGTGAATGCAAATTAAAAAAATAAAAAATAAAAAAGTTAAAAAAAGCTTATTGTACCTAGTCATGTAGAAGGGTTTAAATATTAGTGTCCTAATTTTTAAACTCTTCTACTTGACAGACTTTTATAGTTTAAGTCAATATACTTATATTAATACAAAGTAATTAGTATTGAGATGTGATTATATCAGTTTTATCATTTTCAGATAAGTCCTTGAATTTAGGCATTAGAAAAATCTGGCCCTAGGTGCATGAACTTCCCTATGAATATTTTAATTTTTGGGTTCAATTTTTACTAGTTTTTCAAAAAAATCGCTCTTGTAGTAAATTTAATTGCAATACAAGGATTACCAGCTTCTGAAGCTCATTTTATATATTTATTTTTTTTTAAATTAAAAAAGTAAAAAACTCAATTAAAAAACGCAGTTAAAATACAATTAGTTTACATATTTTTCAACCAAGCTGAAAATTTAGAATTTTTAGTCATGTCATACTTGTGTTAAACCATTTTATATTTGAATTAATTTTATTGAGATTTTTTTTCAATGCAAATGTGCGTTGCAAAATAAAATAAATTAAAAAGGTGGTCTAGAAACTAATGGGGTGGTCCGGAATACTTTAAATTTGAATTTTTGTGAAATATTTATTTTCAAATTGGAAGTTCTACTTTTTTTTTTACTTTTTTTCTAACACTTTTAATTTTTCATTTAGAAATTTTTATTTTACGTGCTGAAAAGTAGTGATGTTCTAAATATACTTGTTCCAATCCTCTATCATTTAAATGACTCACGTGGAGATCCATGTAATTTTTATTTTTGTAATTTTATACTTTGTTTCTTGTTTGTTACTACTTTTTTGTTTTATATATGTACAACCCTTGGAATTAGGAAAAATGAGGTCAATCTTAAACTATTAGAAGTCGGCATTAAGTATGCAAAAAAAAGTTTTGACACAAAGGGGTTGCCATAAAACATAGAAATGAGGTCGGTAATTCTTTGCCAACCTCAAATATTTTTAGGTCAGCAGTTAGGTTGGCATTGCTGAATGCTGACCCTAATTCTGAGGGTTGCATCTATATTATAATATTATTAAACAAAATACTTTATTCTTTTAAATACTTATAAAATTTTTTTGTAACAAGCTTAAGAATTGCAGAAGATCCCACAAAATTAAATTGCTGTCAAACATTTGTGTTAAAATAAATGACCAAATTATAGTCTCTTAAAAAAAGTATGTTTAAAATTATTATGTTAGCCTAGTTCTTTGCCTTTTATTAATCATTAAATAAAAGGAAAGATATAATCATGAATTTAATCAAAACTCAGGTTGTCATGTATAGGGACAATCCAAGTCAGAGGTTTTATTAAGAATATACAATCCCCAAAATAAAGGTTTTAACATATTTTATAGCCTGGAACTATTTAACACTTACTATAAAAAAAAAGTATTATGTAAAGTAAAATGATAGGTAAATACCTATCTATGTTCCATTTAATGATACAAATGTGATTTTTCATAGATTTTACATGTTCTTGTTAAAATAAAACGATTTTGGGGGTTTTGTACAAAATGTTCTGTTCCTATTTGAGCCTTGAACATACCGACAAAATTTTATACACCATTTTTAGCACTGTCAGTTTTTATCAAAATGATACAAATGGCATCCATTTTTTTTTAAACTGTATAAGGACATAGCGTGTTCAAAGGGCTTTTTAAAGAGAGTTCCAAATAGTTAAAGTTCAAGAAGACGTAAAGAAGAGGACTCATCGAGAGGGTTACCATTCATTAATATAGGAATATCAACATTATTGTGATATTTGTTTGCAATAAGTAACTTAGTTTTGTTGGGGTTAACTATTACAAGCTACTGCAAGCCTCAGTCTGTTACAGAAGTGAGATACTTAGTATATGGAGAAGACAACTCCGACTTATATATTCTTCGACAAAGTTCTTCGACTTAAAACACCATCTCTAGCATTTACTCAACTCTTGGTTGAGTAAAGGCCAGAGATGGTGTCTCGATAAATACCCATCTTGGGCAGACGTTAAATGCATCCAACTACTAAGACTTAGGAGGTAAACAGATGCTATCTGTTGACCAGCCTTGTCTTTTCCAGGCCAAGCTGATGCTATCTGTTGACCATCTCTTTTCCAGGCCAAGCTGTGACTCCAATAGTCACATGCTTGGCCTTTACATTCGTATAAATTCTTATAAATTATATTCTTATAAATTCTTATAAATTACATTCTTATAAATTCGTAGACATTTACATTCGTATAAATTCACCCATATGTCAGGAAACTAGGTTTGAATCAACAGACTATTTTTTTATGTGCTTTTGTTTAACACCACTTTACTTTATCGCTTTTCTCTTTGTTCTCTATTGCTCACCTTCATATCAAGACTGCGCACTTTTCGGTGTTATTTCTGATCATATCAGTGTGTTTGTTCAAATGTTATATCAAATTGACCAAGCCCTCTCTCTTTATCCTTCAGCCAATATTGCTGTTGTTGGTGACTTTAATGCTGATCACACTGAATGGCTTTGCTCTAGTGTCAGTGACTCTGCAGGTGTTAAGGCCCACAACTTTTTTCAATCTTTCTCAATCTTTAACTCAAATAGTCAACTTTTCAACTCACTTTCCAGAAAATCCAAATATTTACCTTCTCTGCTTGACTTATGTCTTGCTTCTGATCCTAGTCCTTGCTCAGTTTCATTTTTTCACATTCACAGTTAGGTGCTTCTGATCACGGTTTGATCTCTATAGTAAAAACCATAGTAAAAAAGTTTTGTTTAACCGCTATTCTTAAGTCACGAAATCTCGTATTTCATCTCAAAAATTAGGCTTGTCACTTCTGGAAAATCTTTAACAGTATCTATAATAAAAGAAAATCTGTTATTCCACCTCTCTTGTATGGTTCAGATTTTGTCACCTCACCTATAGACAAAGCTTAATTATTTGCTAAGAACTTTTCCTCAATATCACCACTTGATTCCACTAGTTGCATTTTACCTGATATAGCCAACAAACAAATTGATCCATTGCTTGACATTCATATCACTCCAGCTTCTGTATCTAAAGTGATTTCCTGCTTAGACCCTACATCTTGTGGTTCGGACAACATATCTGTTCTAGTCTTGCAGAAGTGTTCTTAGGAGCTGTCGTCTGTACTTTCAAAACTATTTAACTAGTGCCTATCAGAGTCTTGTTTTCCAGCCTGCTGGAAAGAGGCATCTGTTATCCCTATTTTAAAAAACTCTGGAGAGTAATCTTATTCGTCTATCTAATGTCCCATTAGTCTTCTTCCTATCAAATAATAATTCCTATCATAAGCAAGGTTTTTGAGTCTTTAATTAACAAACACTTAACCTTTTATGTTGATACTAATAATTTACTTTCTGATCATCAATATGGCTTTCGATCTTCTCATTCTATAGCTGATATGCTAACAGTATTAATTGATAGGTTTATTGTACATTAGATAGGTATGGAGTGGTTAGGAATATTGCTCTTGACATTTCTAAAGCTTTTTGTAAAATTTGGCACGCTGGTGTTCTCCGTAAGCTATTTTCTTACAGTGTATCAGGTAACTCTTTAAAGTTTATTGAATCCTTCTTTACCAATTAGTATTAAAGTTGGACAATTAATATAAGTATTAATTATTAGATTAAATTATTAACAGTATTAAAGTTATCCTCGATGGACAGTACTCTTCTTCATATCCTGCCAGTACTCTTCTTCATATCCTTCATCTTTTCTCTTCCAGTAACTTCCAACTCTAATAGTGGTTGCTTGCAGCCTTTTTGGAAGAGAAAATGTTGGGGGAAAAATCCAATTACAGAATCCAATCTCACTCCAGTTCACACCCCTGCTGCTGGTTTGACATCACCTCAGACAATTTGCAGTCAAAATGAAAACCAAGAACAATCGAATCAATAAGAACTCAATTCCAGCTCTTCAATTCCTCATTTATAAGGTAGTAAATTGTAGGCAAAGATAAACTTGATGTGATTCATGAGCCTTCTCATCCAATCAGAGGATGCTTTCAAAGCTATCTTGGAACTTATTATTCCAATGGAACTCCACCTTTTGCTTGTTGTGGTGAATGATCTTAAGAAGGGTCTTCAGAGAATCTGGAAAGGAGCCAGTGAATGGCCTTCAAAATTGCATTAGAACAATTAATCCTACCATGGTGGGGAGTTTGCTGGAAAAAACTGCATTAAGCTTCTCAACAATCTTTTGAGTAAGCATCATCAAATTGATACTGCCATGAATTTCATCTAAGTTTTTTTTAACATTTTTGAAATGTGGTTCATTCTCGCTTTGGAAACAATATGTCCCCAGATTTTGAGGTTCACATCAGTGCATATTAAGAATGCAACATGACTCTGCCAGTCACAGCGACTCCAAAAGTTCACTTTGTTTTTCACCACATCAATGAGTTCATCAAAATTTACAATATTGGGCTTGTTTATTTTAGTGAGCAATCATTTAAAGCACTTCATTCAGTTTTCAGCTCCCACTGGGCAAGATGCAAAAGAGGTTTGGAGAACCCTAACTATGGAAAGCAGTTGTTTGACTATGTGCTAGTCTACAACAGCAAGCATCTTTAGATTAATGGCAAATAAAGAAAAAGATGGTTCAAATTTTTGCTTATTTTCAAATACAGAATATTTTTTATGTAAAATTTAAATTACTGTTTTTGTAAAGTGTGTCTTGTTTCAAACAATTTAAAACCTGTTTTGTTGTGTCAAGAAAGAAATTTTTCATGTAATTTTTGAATAATTTAGGATTAAAAGGAAAAAATAAAACTTTTCAAAGGCTGAAAGAATTTAGAAAAATTTCTTCAAAAACAGTAAAAACGGTTCCTTTAGTTGCTTTACTTTTAAGCCTCATAAATTAGCTAAATGAAAAGATAAAGCTTCGTCTCTTTTTTACTAAAAGCCGTTTGAATTCTCTGTGTACTTAAACAGTTTTAAAAGTTGTGATGCTATTTGTATTATTTTGATGGAATTTTTTTAATTGATGGTATTTGTATCATTTTTAACTGACAATGCTAAAAATGACGTATAAAATTTTGCTTTCTAGTTGGTACATTTAAGCCTCAAATAAAAACCAAACATTTTCAACAACAAACCGCACAATCACAACTCACAAACAACATTCACAACAAATAAACCTAACATTCACAACAAACAAACCTAATACATTCACAATAAACAAACCTAACACATTAACAAGAAACAAACCTAACACATTCACAACAATTAAACCTAACCAACAACAAGATATAGATCATTTGAAAAAAGTTCAAAAAAGAGTGACAAAAATGGTCCCATCTTTAAAAAAAATGAAATATGAAAACAGAATTGAAGTTTTTAACTTGAAATCATTAGAGAAATGAAGAATTCGTGGAGACCTTATACAAATGTACAGAATAGTATATGGTTATGATCAAATCTCATTACAAAAACCAATAAATATTAGACAGAAAAAAAAGTAGAAATCACAACTACAGATTCTCAAGAGAATACACTCCAAAATGTAACGCAAGACATAACTTTTTCTTAAATCGAGTTTGTAACAATTGGAACAATTTAGATCATGAAACTGTTAATGTGAAGACGATAAACTCTTTTAAAATGAAACTGTTAATGTGAAGACGATAAACTCTTTTAAAATGAAACTGTTAATGTGAAGACGATAAACTCTTTTAAAATGAAACTGTTAATGTGAAGACGATAAACTCTTTTAAAATGAAACTGTTAATGTGAAGACGATAAACTCTTTTAAAATGAAACTGTTAATGTGAAGACGATAAACTTTAAAAATTTTTAAAAACAATATTGATAAAAGATAAAAGTAAATTTTAACTGTTATAAAGTATTCTCTTATGTGATTACTTTCCGTGTAATTTTTACAGTTTTCAATTTAATAATAATAATAATAACAAGAACTCCCAAAATGGTTCTATTTTAACAAGAACATATAAAAGCTATAAAAAAAAGCACATTTATATCATTAAGTGGAGCGTTGAAAGATATTTACCCATAATTTTATTCAACAATATATTTTTAATGTTGAAAATGTTGCAGAGAGCATTTAACTTCAAACTCAATTTTCTCTCTCAGATCGTCAAGGTGGCAACTGGTCATGGAAATCGTGGAAATGTCATGAAATTTTATTTGGTCATTCCTGAATTTTCATTGAAAGTCATGGAAAATTCATGGAACTTTTTAAAACTATCTTTACTTTTTTTTCTACTTGTGACATTTTTAGGATGCAAAGAAAAGTACTAGTATGTCTAGTCTAAGTTCTTTTTGAAAAAGATGTTTTTGCAGTGTAAGTTATCAGAGAAATAAAAGAAAAAGAGTTTTATTTAGACATAATTTCAGAACTTTCTTTTTAGTTTTTGGTTTGCATGTTTTGTGATGACCAAGTTGCAAATACTTGGTGCATGTAACATTGCGCAGTGCATGGCAAGTACTGAATATTTGACTCTAGTGATTTATCATAAAAGTTTATTAAGAGTCATAGAAAAGTCATGGAATTTTATTTTCAAATTTGAGTAGCCACCCTGACCTGATTTTAATTTTCATGCTAAATGAACCGTGTCTCTAGATTACTGGACAGATTGTCATTTTTTTTAGCCATCAATTTGAGGGTTATGGCCAAAATTGGCCATAACCCTCAAAACTTTTTTTCAATCATATGCACTGTGCATATGACTGAAAAAAATAGTTAAATCTTTAGTCATAAATTATAAATAAAAAACATATATAAATAAGAACATGGAAATATATTATGAAATATATATAAACATATAGCATTATGAAATAAGGACATGGTTTTATAAAAAACCAAGCAAGTGAGTACTTAAGGATTTTTTGTTTTTTGTTTTTTTAAGGTAAATTAAAAAAAGCAGAAGAAAAAAAGTAAAAACTAAAACAAAGTTTTTAAATGCTACAATTAAAATTCAGAAGAAAATTTAAAATTTAAAAACCACATGCTTCAACTATTTATATTTATACAAGGTCATTTTGCATGCTCCAGTGAACATAAGTGGCTTTAATTTTCTGGCTAATTTAATTTTCTATTGTATATTTAAACATTTATATATGCATTTTTTATGTGGTGGTATGACTGGCCCCTGTGTCTTTAGGTAGGTGAATATAGTAAAGAAAAACTTTTATACAATTTTTATCACTATTTTCATTATTATTTCTTTTTATTTTTAGAAAAATTTTGTTTTTTATGTTTTTCACCTCCCCAAGGCCAAGAGAACCACTACAGTCAAGGAGGCTACTTTATTGTAGATATAATACTCTCTCTTTAACTCTAAAACCTTGACAAACAAGGTTGCTGCATGGAGAGCAAGTTGTTTTTGTAAATTAAATAAGTTGTATTTGTTTTAGCACGTATTGGACTTATGCACATTGGTGTGTTTATTTTACTGTTACTTAGTGGAGAAAGAAATTTTGGTAAGTGTGTTTAAAATATTTGAGAAAATTATATTTTAGTAAGTGTGTTTAAAATATTAGAGAAAATTTTTAAATGACCAATAGTTGTTAATTTTTGTTTATTATTTAATAACCGTTAACTTTTTTTAATTTATAAACAATTCAACTAAATTAATTTTGAAAATGACAAAGGAAAATTTTTAATTTTTTTTTTTTAATTTTAATTAGTTATTGATATTTTCTTATTACTTATATATATATTAATACAAAATGTGTGCTGGCAACACACTTAACAAATATTCATTACATGGGTGATTACATACTTATCAACCAACAGGAAAACATTTTATACGCTGAATATACATTAAAACCCTGTGAAATTCGATCATTATTATCTTAAAGCATGTCCACAACATTACCTGCTAAACATGCCAGGGGCTATTCTAGACCGTTTGCAACAGCGTCGACCGTATTTAGGTGCTGATTTGGGCGCCATCCAAATTAAAATTTAAGGACCTTTTATTTTTTTTGACGCCTAATTTTATTTTATTTTTTTGCTAAAAAACGTTGATTTTCTGTTAAATTTCTCCAAACAGGGGGATACCACCACCCAAATTTTTTTCCTAGAATAGGCCCTGCATGCGTAAGTATCACTTTGAATGGTGGCGGCAAGCCCAAACAAACAATTGCCACACACTTGAAGATGCCCAAGACAACCGCCCATGTCACCACTCAGGGCAACCAGTCAACAGATGGCATCAGTCCAGGAAAATAAGACTACAAATTACCACTCTAAAAACTTCAAGTACCATTCTGATTAAAGACATGCTTTTCTCAAAAAAATATTTGTAATTGTCTCTGATTATGATATTGTGTTTTCAGCAAATACAGCCATGACTTTTCATTCATTAAAAACCTATTACATTAAATTAAATTGGTATGCAAATATATTTTACAAATTGCAATATATTTTGTTGCTTTTCTCTATAATAAACATATAATATTGCAGAAACTTTTTTAAAAACTAAATTTAAAAATTGCTTTTAGACTGGTGTAAAAAATAAAGTAATTTCTTAAGATACTAATAAAATTATTTGACATTTTTTTTTATAAGTTTTAACATCTTAAGCAAAATGTTTTTAAATAAAGAAAAGTTAATTTTTCTCTATTGTTAAAATTTCTTTTCCATTTTTTAGTTTTTGTTTTTTTTTTGTTTTGTTTTTTTCCACAAAATTTTTGAGATTCCTATTATGTCAAAACATGCTAGTAACATACACTATCAAGTATAAAAATGGTTTTTTACTATAAATATTGGGGTGGTTGGATCTTTTTATTAACTAATAAATAGAATAATAGATAAAATAGTTAATTAACTAATAATAATAAATCTAGTAAATAACTAGAGATGATTACAAATATTTTTATAATCAATTTAATAAATCTTACAAATTAAGTATTTTATCTCAGAAATTAGGTTCTAGAGACATACAGAAAATCTTTAACAAGGTCATTAACAAATAACTCTAAGTAGATCATCTCTAACACATGGGTCCGATCCTATTACTTCTTTGCAAATAGTTCTGTCTTATAAAATAATAAGACAGAACTATTTGCAAAGCACTTTTCCTCTAATTCATCTTATAATTTTAATAAACACACTCTTCTTGTCATTCTAGAGAAACTAATAAATTTATTGATATCCATCCAAATCACTCAGATGCTAAAGTTGTTTCTCATAAACTCGGTTTGTGGTCAGACAGACATTTCTGTCATAGTCTTAGTCTAGTTCTCCGGAACTCTCTGTTAACTATTTAATGATAATGATTGAATCTTTTTTTTCTGCCTGCTGCAGAATTTTTAATTAGCTAGAAATTTTTAAAAACTCATTCTCTGACTCTTCTAACTAGCGACAATCAGTCTTCGCTTTAATACTTTTAATTAACAAACTTCTAGTATCTCATAATCCAATTGTCAGAGAGTCTAATAACTCTCTGACAATTGGATTTTAATTCTCTGGTTCTACAGCTAACTTGTTAACTGTTGTAACAGAATGGTTTTATTGTGCATTTTATGGAGGTGGCAAGTTAAAGGTTATTGCTCTTAATGATAAAGTCATGCATGCTGGTTTTCTCCAAAACTTTGCTTCATATAGTGTATCTGGTAAAGTTTTTGAAGTTATTAAATCGTTCCGTTCTAACTGCAATACTAATGTTGTCCTTGTAGACCAAAACTTCTTTATTTCTATAAATTTCTGGATTACCACAAAATTCCACATAGTTTTATTGTTTTATTATTTACATCAATAGTATTTCTGACAATCTTACATCTATATTAGCTCTATTTGCTGGGAACATAACTATAAACTCCGGCCTTGACAAAAGTCATCACTTTTTCATTGCTTAGGACAGGCAGCCAATCTTGAATATGATTTCTTTTCTTTGGGAGCTGGGGCTTACAGTGGCTTGTAAATTTTAACCCAAACAAAACATCCAAGGTTCAAAAACATATAGTAAATTGTAGTTAGGTCTGCTCTGCTTGCCAAATTTATCCCATTTTTGTAAGATCTATTTTATCTTTTTTTTGCATTATATATTATGTATGCCTTTACTAATAATTTGAAAGCATTTTTGACACACCAAAAGAAGCAGAATTATTCTTGGTAATACTAACTTTCTCTGATAATGTTTTTATTAATGAATTTAATTCAAAATAATTTTGAAAAAATAATCATAAAATATAGAACCTTTGATCTTAATAGTTCTCAAATTGCAGATTTTCTAGCAGGGTACAGATTTCCTTTACATGTGCAGTCCAGTTGGATACTTCATAACATTAACTTTATAATAAACATTGATTGATACATTAGAGGCTCCAGTACATACATCTACTAATACAGAGATAATGTGAGTTGCGGCTACAGCTAATGAGGGTTTGGGTTAGGGCAATAAATTTTTTTGTTATTCTTCATTTTTTATTCTAAAATAACTGTATGGATTTAGGAGAGTATATGTGTGTATGTATATAGTTATTTACATACATATTGTGTTACCAAAGCTTGTACATTTTTCATTATTTTCAATCGAAAACCTGATTTATAAAATTTTAATATGTTTGGTAAGTTGCTTAATGATTGCTGTTATATTTTAATTTACAAACTATACTATCAATAATTTTGTCTTGTTTATTAGGTGTTCGTCTCAATAAACCATACTCTATGAGAATTCCAATGGATATACCTGTGTTCAATGGAAGTCATGCTGATTTTTTGATTATTGTAAGTTACTGGCACCGGTGGTATTTGCTTTAAAGTTTTATATAGTATATACAAAAACATACTGTAAATTTCATTATTGTATGTAATAAAACATTCGGTTTGTTTTAATTGATCTAAAATACCTGATTTGAAGTTGTTTTATATGCTCTAGTATGTAATAAAATGTTTTCTATAGTTGTTTTTATAGCATTTTAATAAATTACGTTTTTACAAGTTGTTCTATTTGTTGTATACGCCATTTATAATTTTTGGAATATAAGTTTTATTATAATAAAACTTGTGTTTTGAAAATGTTCTATATTTATATATAAAACTTGTGTGTGAGTGCTGTGATATTGTAAAATGTATTCAATTACTTTACAAAACAATTAATCCATTGCAAAAGTTCAATTTCCATTTTTTTTCGATATAAACACTAAATTTTGTAAAGAAGTGAGAAGTGTTGGTGATAAATTTTTTTTAGAATTTAAGTTTAATAAAAATATATTTCCTACACTTTAAAGCCCACTGAGATTATTTACTGATAATAAATAGCTTTCATTGCAGTAATTTGATCTAAAAACACAGAATCATCAAAATTTCACATCTATATTAGCAAAAATGTGCATATTTTTTATGTAATTGTTTGCATACCAGAATATATGAGTGGCTCATAAATCAGGATGTAAAAAAATGTTAATAATCAATCAAACTAAAAAATGTTAATAATCAATCAAACTAAAAAATGTTAATCAATCAAACTAAAAAATGTTAATCAATCAAACTAAAAAATGTTAATCAATCAAACTAAAAAATGTTAATCAATCAAACTGAAAAATGTTAATCAATCAAACTAAAAAATGTTAATCAATCAAACTAAAAAATGTTAATCAATCAAACTAAAAAATGTTAATCAATCAAACTAAAAAAATTTTGATGAAATGGTAAACAATTGTTGGTTTTGCTAAACTCTGTTAATATTAATTTAACTATATAGTAAAAAACTGCATGAAATCAAATCCAGAGAAGATATTTGACTGATAAAGACTGATAAAGCTCTAGTAACAATGCCTCTGCTGGCTTTAAAGCTCAAAAATTTAATTACTATAAAACTTAATTGATAGTAAATTTTGTGACTCGTTCTCCAAACAACCTTAGTTGCTTATCTTCAATCTTGATTTGTATCTTATCTCTGACCCTAGTTTGTACTAAGTTTCTCCTTGTATTGTATTAAAAAGGTTAATTTTTTTTTTCTTAAATCTTAATGTTGATAAAAGCAATTAAATTATCACAGTAAACCATAGTGTGTTTGAGTGTGTTCTGCAGAGATGTTCAATTTAGTTAATGCAGCATATTCATTAGGATAAACAAGTGCAGTTTTTCATCATCTATCTTAAAAAAAATTCCTAATTGCTACTTATCCTAAACCACTGATTGTTGTTACAGTACTATAGTTGACTGCTTGTTTTTAATAATTAATAATAATAATTAATAATTGTACCTAATTAAAATTGTTTGTCTTAATAAAGTGTCTTTTGAAACAATTCTTATTAAATGTTTAGAACAATTCCTGTGTCAAACAAAGTTAAAAGTTCAATATTTAAAGTTTTAGGATTCAAATTTTGAAAATTAGAAGATTTAAATAAAAAATTCTTTTTTTTTTTTTTTTTACACAATAAAAATCAACATTTATCTTGTAAAAAAAAATTATTTGATAGCTGGTGATATGTTAAAAAATTCCTTTTTCTACAATTGTAAGAGTTGCTGTGGACTCAAGGTAGTTGAATGTTTAAAAAAGAAGTTTTTGTAACTATTTTTAATATCAAATGTATTTAAAACATTTTTTCAAATTTTGTTGTTTATTTATACTCAGTTATATATATTTGAAAATAAACTTTTGTATAGTATAAACCTTCAGTGAAAAATGTATGAAATCCAAAAAATAAGATTAATTACCAGTTAAAAATATCCGCCATTTTCAACAAAATAGCTTTCACTGTATATAGCTATAGACTAAAGTAGCAGTTAAAAGTGTTATTTCAGAATTTCATGGTATTACACAAGTACAAAATGGATATAGTAAAAGTACAGAGTAAAATTAGGTTGAAGAGTGATTTTTTTTTTTTTTTTTCAATGTTATCAAGTATATGTACTTTAAAAAAGTTAACCATGTATCAATCTCCCCTCTTTATCTAAAGTCTAAATGTGTAAGCTTTTCATTTTGTTCATTAAAAAGGTTATAAAAATTTTAAAACCCTTATTTTATTCAACTAATATACTATTTTTTAATAACGAAAAAAAATCAGATTAGGGAAGACTTGAATCTTAGCAGTCAAAAATGTGGTTAATAATGTCAACTATTTTTTCTCAATTAATTCATTTTAGTAGTTTTGCTATGTTAATACAAAATAGAGTTCACCTTAAAAAATTTAAAGAAATGCATAAAAAAATTTTTTACAAAGGTCTTAAAGTACTTAAATAATAATTTTTTAGTGAAATGTTTTATTCTTCACCATGTTTCATTAATTTTTTTTTTTTATAGTTTAATAGAAATATATGTGTATTTGGTCATAATTAAAGACTAACATTTTAACTCAGAATATTTAAAATTTCTTTTTACTAGGTGTTTCATAAAATTATAACTACTGGTCATCAACGCCTGCATCCTCTATTTGATTGTCTTTTAACAATAATTGTTAATGGTAAGAAATTTATTTTATGTTTAGTTAGTAGTTTCATTGGTTAAGTTAATTAATTTGTGCATGTCATTTATATTTTATTTTATATTTAATAATTTATTTTTTAATATATTAGATTATTTCTAATATATTAAAAATAAATTATCACATTTTTTTTTTTTTAAATATATTAGAAATAATCAAATTGGCTTTATTTTTATTTCAAAACAATTTTGAAATAAAAATAAAGCCAAATTTTTGTTTCAAAATTGTTCTCTAATATTTAAAATTGAAAAATCATAATTAAATAAACCTTGTTTAGTATAAATAACTGAATCTATAGCACAAACATATTTGAATTTCTTCATACTTCAAAAATATTCAAACATTTTGAATATTTTTGAAGTTAAAGATTTTATACAGGGTTGTAACAACATTCAATGAAGAAAAAAAGTCTTTTTATTTAATAGTCCACTTGGCTTAGAGGAAATGAATATGTAAAAAAAAATGCATTATAAAATCAAAAACTAAGTAAAAAAAAAAATGTCTGCTAAAGTTTGACCATTAATTTAAATTTTTCTATTTTACCCATTAAGTCTACAGTTGCAGAACTTAGTAGTTATAATTATTTAGTTGAATTATGCAGGCATAATTTATGCAAATATTTTATTTTACTATTTATTAAGTTATCTTAATAAATTATTACACACTGCAATACTTGCATACCTACTTAAATTTGGAATCAAATTTGCGAACTTGCTGAATTCGTGAAATCAGCAAAATATCTCAACTTATCTTCATTATTAGCAACCACTATTAGAGTTGAAAGATACTGGAAGAAAAAAGATAACGTTTGTAGAGCAAGATAACAATTGACTGGCAACTTAAAAGATTGCAAATTATATGAATCAGGAAAGCAACATGAAGGAAGCAAATTCCAAAGAACTGATGTTCAAGTAAAAAAACTAGACAAAAAAGAATTTTTCTTAATTTAAACATTTAACATTGTTTGACGGGATTTTCTCACTTAGAAACACTCAAAGTAAAAAGAAGAGACTTAATAGAGTAGATGGCACAAAAGGTGCTAGCTCTTTAGAGCAGTGCTTGTTATAGTTTGTTTTCTGGCATGCTGGAAAGCGGCATCTGTTATCCCTATTTTCAAAAAATGCATCTCTTTATTGTGCTTGACCCTTTTCTTCATATTCTATTCTTTATCTCTATAGATCTCAAATCCGTCCTTATATGGAAAACTGTTGCCATATATGGGGTGGATCTTCTAATAATGCTCTTTCTCTTTCAGACAAGGTGCAAAAACGCATTGTAAACATAGTTGGACCTGCTCTTGCAGCCAACCTCTAACCATTATCACAATGTTGCTTCTCTTTCTCTTTTCTACAAATACTATAATGGACACTGCTCTAAAGAGCCAAAGTATCTTGTGCTATCTACTAAAATTCATTTTCGTGTTACTCCTCATTCAATTAAGTCTCATCCTTTTTCCTCCATCTTGCTTTCCTGATTCATATAATTTACAATCTTTTAAGTCGTCTTTTAAATCATTATCTTGCTCTACAAACTTCATCTTTTCTCTTCGAGTAACTTCCAACTTTAACAGTGGTTGCTTGCAGCCTTTTTGGAAATAAAGATATCAAAAAAGTAGTGTTTGTAGAAAAGAGAGTGAGAAGCAACACTATGGCAATGTGATAATGGTTGGAGGTTGGAGCAAGAGCAGGTTCAACTATCTTTACAACATTGCGGTAATGATTGTCTGAAAAAAACTGTGTTTTATCTGAATTAAAGTTCAACAGCCACAGTGAGCCCCATGCTGTAGAAGTGAGATCCTTTTCAAGCTCAAATGCCCCCTCCAAGCAATCAGAGAGAGTTAGCTTCTTATCAAGACAAGAATAAATAATAGTATCATCAGCAAACAATGCCACCTTATCGTTAATGTAAAATAAAAAGAGTATAGGGTCAAGGATTGAACTTTGAGGAACCCCTGAAGTTACAGGATATGAAGAGGAATGCTGTCCATTGAGGACAGGGTTGCAAAAAAAACCGTTTTTTTTTTTAAAAAAACCAAAAACCATAGGTTTTTTAAAAAAAAAAAAAAAAAAACATGGTTTTTTTGGTTTAAATTAGGTTTTGTATTTATATATAGAACATTAAACAATGGTATTTAGTTATCCTTTTAAATTAAAAAAAGCATAACGTATTTTATTTGAGGAAACTATATTCTTTATCAATATTATTGTTATATTTCATCAAAAGTATTTAATATATCATTGTTTAATGTTCTATATATAAATACAAGCTGTTTTTTCTACCCCCAATCTGTTTCTTAACATAAAATGAATAAGACCAAAAGTTGAAAAATTCTTTTGATTCCAGCACTAGAAACTGGTGCATTTAATAAACCTTCAATTTCCATTATGTTATAGTAGATTTGGTTTTTAATTTGAATAATATTGGTAACAAATTCTTGAACTCTTTATCTGCGAAATTCATGGCAGCTTCATTTTCATTTTCAGAAAGATTAGATCCAAAATATCTAGGATCTAGTGTGTTTGCCAGGAAATGAGCTGGCAAACACACTAGATCCAGACAATCACTGACAGTCCGAAGGTATCTAGATTCAATTTTTTTTTTGTTTCGTTTGATAAAAACGATAAACTGTTCATCAAATCTTTAAAAATTTCAAGAGTCACTTATTTTTGTTTGATTTCTTTGCAACTTGTGTTGCAAACTTTGCAACTTGTGTTGCAAACTTTGCAACTTGTGTTGCAAACTTTGCAACTTGTGTTGCAAACTTTGCAACTTGTGTTGCAAACTTTGCAACTTGTGTTATTTTTGTTTGATTTCTTTGCAACAACAAATGCGGTAGTGGTGTAGTGGTAAGAGCGCTCGCTTTGTAAGCGAGAGGTTCGGAGTTCGACTCCCACCACGTCCCTGGAAGTACTGCGCTTAACTTAATTTTTCGGCGCAGCAGCCTTGCTTGTCAAGGTTCGTGTTTCGGAGTTAAAGAGTTGAGAGAGGGTTGTACCACGATTTATAACTTAAAAAAAAAAAAAAAAATCTTATCTAGAGCTACTGCAATTTGTTTCAATATTTTCAATAAATTTTCTGTGTTTCGCTTTATCTGTATATCACTTACTTTTTTACCAATCACAGGATCCAAATCTTTAGTATAGGGTATTTTCAAACATAAAAATAATGCTCCAGTTGTTGACATATTTTTCATATGAATCTCATACAGAATTCCAGCGAGTTTAAGTAGGAAGTGGCAATTTTGTTCCTCCACCTAATTTATAAATTGCTCCAGCTTGATGATTATTTCTTATATATTTTATTATTTGTGTAACATGCTTGCTCACATTTTGAATGTTAAGATCATTTGCTAAAAGAATCAGCATATGAGCAGCACACCCATATGTTATGATAATATATCTTTCAGATGACAATACTTGTCTTATTGATTTCACATTAGCTGCATTGTCAGTCACAAAGCTTTTTACTGTGCATCCAAATTTATGTCTTACAAAATCTATTGCTTCTCTTGCTAATTGTGTAAGATATTTACCAGTATGTGAATGACCAGAAGTGTTGTTTGTTTCTACTAAAATGTTAATTTATCTATAATTACAGAGATACAAACTATAGGTTCATTGTGTACATTACTCCAGCCATCTAAAGACATGTCTACAATTTTCCCATTCAATACATTACATTTTTCAATTTCTTCTGTGTAAACTCTATCTAATATTTCTCCTCCAATTTCAGTTCTATTAGGTAGAGTGTATCCTGGATGAAGCCTGTAACCCTGTCTTAGTTTCCTGTTTTAAGTTCAAATCTTTTTAAAAAAACATTAGTTTTGTTTAAACCAACATTTTTTAAATTGGTTTAAACCATTTGGTTAAAACCATGCAACCCTGATTGAGGACATCTTTTATACAACAATGTGAAAGGAAGAATTCAATAATCTTAAAGATGTTACCAGATACACTGTAAGAAGAAATCTTATGGAGAAGACCAACATGCCAAACTTTATCAAAAGCTTTAGAAATGTCAAGAGTGATAGCCTTAACTGGTCCACCTCTATCTAATGCACAATAAAACCTATCGGTTATTACTGTTAGCAAATCAGCTGTAGAAGGAGAAGATCAAAGTCTGTATTGATTATCAGAAATTATTATTATTAAAGTTATTAGATGCAAGATGAGAGATTAGGTGTTTGTTAGTGCTTGATTCAAAAACCTTGCTTATGATAGGAAGAAGACTAATGAGACATTAGTAAGATGAGTCAGAGTTTTTGAAAATAGGGATCACAGATGCCACCATTTAGCAAGCTGGAAAACCCCAATAAGCAATTGTTTAATAGCTTTGAAAGTATAGACAACAGCTCCGTAGGACACTTCTGCAAGACTATAACAGGTTGAAGAATCTAAGCTGTAGAAGAGTCTAAGCAGGAAATCACTTTAGATACAGAAGCTGGAATGATACAAATGTCAAGCAATGGATCAACCTGTTTGACGGCCATATCGGGTAGAACACTATTAGTGGAATCAGGAGAAATCATTGATGAAAAGTTCTTTGCAAACAATTCAGCTTTGTCTGAGGTGACAAAATCTGAACCATACAAGACAGGTCGAATAACAGGTTGTGCTTATTATTGATACTGTTAAAGATTTCTACCCAAGGGCCATCACAAAGAAAATCCTTAAAAGAGTCCCATCAGCTTTAAGGTAGTAGTAAGATGTACGATGATAGGGGGATTCAGACAATGAAGAAGAATGAGATAACAGTTTTAGAGATCAAACCGTGATAAGAAGCACCTAAAGGTGAATGGAAAAACTGAGCACTGATTAGGATCAGAAACAAGACATAAGTTGAGTTGAGAAGGTAAATGATTCGGGTTGTCTGGAAACGAATTGGAAAATTGACTATTTGAGTTAGAGGTTGAGAAAGGCAAAAGTTGTGGTGCCTAACGCCTACAGAGTCACTGACACTAGAGCTGCGCCATTCAGTGTAATGAGCATTAAAATCACCAACAACAACAAGATAAAGAGAGAGAGCTTGGTCAATTTGATCAGAAATATCATTGAAAAGAGTGCAGTCTTGAGATAAAGGAGAGCGATATAGAACAAAGAGAAAGGTGATAGAGAGAAGTGGTGCTAAACGAAAACACATAAAAGAATATTCAGTGGATTCAAACCTAGTTTCTTGACAAATAGGTGAGTTCTTACGAATGTAAATGCCCAGGCCAAGCATGTTACTGCTGGATTCTTTATGAATTAAAGGAAGATAATCATTAACACTAAAATTACAAGATGAGGCAGCCGAACTCGAATTAGTCTCACAAAGAGCAAGTGATTAAAGTCACTATATATATATATATATATATATATATATATATATATATATATATATATATATATATATATATATATATATATATATATATATATATATATATATATATATATATATATATATATATATATATATATATATATATATAAAAGCAACTTTGCTTGAATAAATATCATTAGGAAAGTCAAATTGATTTACAATGCTGTTGGGTTATTCGTTTCTTTTTTTAATTGCTCACAAATATTTTAAAATAATAATTTCATTTGTTCCTTTTTTTTTATTTATTTCATTCACTTTTTTTTTTATTTTACTTTTTTTTACTTTAGTTTTTTTCTTAAGCTTTTTTTTTATTTAGTTTCTCCTTATTTAAAATCACTATCGATGGTTGCTGCAAACAAACTGTTGCATCTTTTAGAGGTACTCAATTTTTATTCTTCAGCTTTCAAGTAACCATATATATATATATATTTATATTCCAGATTTAAAGTTTAAAAATGCTGACTTCAATCAAGAAAGTTTTTCAAAAAAAGAAAAAACAAAGAATAATGAAAAAAAGTTTTTACTTACCTTAATAAAGTCCTTATTTATATATATATATATATATATAAATATATATATATATATATATATATATATATATATATATATATATATATATATATATATATATATATATATATATATATATATATATATATATATATATATACATATAAAATATATTTATTAGAGCTGTTTAGTATGCTAATTTGTTTTTCGAATATAGCTAATTTAAGTTTTTCCAATTTGCTAATCATATTGTGGTTCAAAAATATTTTTTACTAAATTTTATTATTTGCCCTGAATAGCCCCCAAACATTTGGCCCTAATATTATTTAAAAAAAAATTATTTAAAATATGTCAACTTGGTGGTTAAAAAAAGCAAAATTTTATAAAAGTTTTAAAAATTAGATTCATTTTTTATAAAAATAACCATTTTACGTTTTTTTTTGAATGAAAACTTTTAAAGGTTTAACAAAGGTTTTAACAAAGGTTTTAACAAAGGTTTAACAAAGGTCAGAAAACAAAGGTTTAAACAAAAAATGAAAAAAAGTTAATATTTTCAACGTTTTTATTATTATTAGTCTTTTTTATTATTTTTTTATTATAAGTATTTTTAGTATTTTATTATTATATATTTTTTTATTATTATAAGTTTTTATTATTTATAACTTATTATTATAAGTATTTTTAAGATGTTTTATAAATATATATACGTAATATCGCAAATGAAAATGTTGATAGCAAGATCAATTTATATGAAAATTCATTTCATAAGACAGCACATTTTTATGGAGCTGGTAAGTCTGCTGATAGACAAATTATAAATAGATATGAACTTACTGGATCCACAAAGATTCAAATTCGGGATAAAAAGCTCTTGATACTAAACAACAGAAAACCCAGTTTTATTTGAACAAATGAAACATTTTTATGGAATGAATTTTGGTATTTCTACTGCAAAATGTTATTTACGTCATGCAAATGTGTTTGGAAGACATTCATCCTAATCATGCTAATTTATTCAGAAAAATCATTGAAATCAAACAACTTGTTTTATCCCATTGATAAATTTGAGAAAAAACAAAAAAATTAATTGAAAAAAAATGAATGAAAAAACAAGTAATTACAATAAATAAATTATGAACTTATAATGAAAGAATAATACATTTTTTTTCATATATTTATTTTTGCATGCTAACACTTTAAGAGATTTAGGTTGGTAGTTGTAAGCTGTTGTATAGCAAAAATAAGTTGGCTTTTGCGTCACCATTGCCTTATTTCAACCTGAATTTCGCAGGCTGCATTGTATTTGATTTTATTTAAATTAATATAAATAGTGAAATAACAGTGGTGAAGGGCAGAATTTTGATTCTATAAAAATTGCTTTCATGTTAAACTTTATATTTTTCAAGACACTTTTTTTTATTTTATTTTGGTTTAGGCTTTTTCAACTCCATGGTTTTTGTTTGCAAATTCAACCAATCACCACTTAGTATTTTTTCTTCTGGAAACATTTAATAACATTATTCAGTACCAGTTTGATGGTAAGTCAGAGCATTAATTATTAATGACTGAACCATTAAAATATCTAAATGGTTAATATTGAAGTTATTTTTTGTTTGTGATAATGGTAAATGGTAATTTTTTGTTTGTGATTATTTTAAATATTTCATAGTAAGTGTGACCACTATTGGAGATAATGACTAGTTATCTATAAAATTTGTATTTGTTGTAGCACAGATTTTTTAATTAAATTAGAAATAAAATTTTTTTCAAATTAGGAAATGCTCACATGGTATATGCAATCATTCGGAAACGCAACGTATTTCATCAGATGGCTAATCTCCCAACTGATCCTTCTACTGTAAAAAAGCCTGGAAAAACTATAGATAGAAAAGACACAGATTCTGTATCATCAGAAGAAGGGTAAAAATAGATATTAATTGAAAGTTAAAATCTTATATTTAGGCACGCGTTAATTAAGTGGGTATTATTTTTAATTTTTAATTAAAGTTAATTTGCATAAAGTAATAGTGCAAAGTCAGTGCAGAAGATCAGTTACTTGTTGACAGGATCAGTTGATCTGCACTTACATTAGTTAGCATAGTTTAATACTTCATGATTTTCTTTGTGGGTCACTTAACTGAAAAATAGTTTTGTTTGACATAATGCTTTTATAAATAATTTTTTAGGTCATAAGTATTTTTTTGAGCTTATAATAAAGTATTTTTGCACGAACATTGAAGTATTTTTGTATGTAAGTAATGGTTATTAATAGGTGTATATTGTTTATAAGGCTTTATGTGGGAATGTAAAAATTATGCCAGCTTTTTTAAGGTTAAGATTTCAAGTTTGCTTAGGTTTGCCAACTTTGTGACAGTCCTCTATATAGTTTCAAATTTTATGTAGTAGTGGTGTGGCCATGGATCATTTAGATAATGGGAATGTAGAGCTTAACAGTATGTTTATTTTAAAATTGTAATATTGATAAAATATTTTTTAAATGTTTTTGTTGCTTATGAGGAGTTTGGAGTCAAGTCATTTAGCTCTTTAGTTTTTATTTTTTTATTTTTTATGAATAGAAGCTATTTTTTTGAAAAAGAAAAAACCATAATAGGTTTTAAGCTTTATAGAAAAAGAAAAAAAGAAGACATCATCAAAAAATTTTGTTAGTATTTACAACTAGTTGTTTATTTTTTAGTAAACTTTGTTAATTTTTATAGCAATTAATTAAATAAAAAGGTTTGAAAAATTAAGTAATCAATTTGTAATAAGTAATCAATTTGTATTACAAACTTTGGAAAAACATTTTTTTTAGTTAGCTGAACTGAATCTTTTTTTTTTTGTTTCTGCAGATAATGGTAGCAAAACAGAAGGTCTTAAGCTTTAATAATATTATTAAGTGTTACTATTTGTTATTTTTGTTGGCCATTAAAAATAACATCATCGCGTACTATTATAACTATATGCTACAAAAAAAAAAACAATCAATAGTTACAATGCATAACAGTTAATTATTGAAATTTGTTTGTTACAATGCAAACAAATTTCAATAATTATGTATTAAAACTTTTATTTGCTAGAATTCTTTTGGTTAGAACTTGTCTCTTCTCAGCGATTTTCTTCAAAAAGTGGCCTCCTTCAATGTTTTATGATTTTGGAGTTATTAGCTAAGGATTAAAGTAAAGGTTTTAAAAAATGACCTTGTGTAATGTTTCCTGACCTTGCGTAATGTTTCCTGACCTTGTGTAATGTTTCCTGAACTTGGAGCTATTGATTTAAGTAAAGGTTTTTAAAAAGAACAGAAAAGTAGAAAAAAATCTTTTTAGATAAATCACAAGATCTTGAAAGTGAAAAAACAGTTAATGATGTTTTAACAATAAGTTTATTTATTGTTTATCATTAATTATTTCAAAAAATTTTTTTTTAGAAATTTCAGGCAACCTAGATTAGAAAACATTCCAACTACAACCAGAACTGGTAAAAATTAATTTCTTTTTGCATAAGTACATAATCACATTGTATAATTTTTTTCTTTTATCATTAGATTATTCTACAATTTAACACGATTGTTACATTAGTTAATATGTTTTAGAAAATTTGACCACAACACTTTAAAATGTACTGCACTTAACAATACTGACATAAAAAGGTTCTATGTAAAATTTAAAAAACAATAAACCATTTTGTGTTAATTTTACATTATATGACAGGTTTTGATTTTTCTTAAATCTAAATGAGTTGTTAGCATTATCATTATCATCATCAGTTTAGCATCCTTGTATCCAAATTTGCACAGATTGAGTCTTCTTTATGTCTTTTCTCTTATTTTCTCATTCTTGATATTTTTTTGTATCCAAACTTGCACAGATTGTCATTTGTAGCTTTTACTTACTAATTACTACTAATTACTTTTTACTAATTACTCTAAGCTTTTCTACTTCTACCTTTTTTTCTTAAAATACTCTGCATGCTGATATCTAATAATCTGCATTTTTATGCTCTACAATTATTTGTATCAGAAAAAAAACATTTATTTTTTTTGAATTTCAAATTGTGATAGAGCATAAAAATTGCATAAAAATATAAGTAGTAATTAAGTAATTAAATATTAAATATAAATAATAATATAAGTAAAATATAAAATATAAATAATAATGTAATTTTCCCAAACTTTTTAAAAAACTTTTGAAGTCTTTGTTTGGTATCAGGGTTTAAACGTTTTCTGACATTTTTTACAAAATAAAATAAAAAATTCTAAGCATGCACTAGATTTGTAATAGAGTTTAAATATTACACAATGACTCAGCTAGAAATGTTTACAATTTGTAAGAAAATTTTTAGTGTCTTCTTTTGTTTCTAGAAAGCTGGATTTTTACAAAAAAAGTAGTGTTTCATAAGTTTTTGCCAAAATTAGCTCTACACTCCATAATACACAATCAAAATTTTATTAGAGAGGAAAAGTTTCTCTATGTTTAAATTTTAGTTATAACAAAGTTCAATTATTTTAATCATTTGTCTCTGTCTGTAACTGTGTTATTGTATTGATTACAGGCATTATTTTTTGCTACAAAGTCTTGCACAATTGAAACCATCTCTACTAACTTAACCACAAACTTGATCTAAAGCCTCAGTTTGATGCATTTCTCTACTCCTTGAGTATTGCATGGATAGTGCTGCATCTGGAACAAATTTATTAAAAGTTCTATTTTATATAAGATGTGAGCAATAATCAGTGGTTCAATGAGTTCATATTTTTGTCAATCCATTAATTCTATGTCTTATCTTTTCCTTCAAAATTGATTTCTGGTATGGAGAACTTTTGAACTTTGTTTTCATAGACCTTTCATAGATTTTATAATGCTGATTTTATTTTTATTTTTGTAATGCAAATTTTCTCACATGTGGTTGAGTATCCGATATCATAGCAAAAAGCATGTCTTCTGGATGCATAAAAAAAGTATTCCTTTGTATCACTGGATTCCTTGATGCATTTGTATCACTGGGTTGATGATAGTTTTTATGTCACTACTGGCATACTTGGATAAATTAATGGCTAGCCATAAATGTAACACCTTTAGTGTGTGATTTAAATAATGAATTCAACAATTTCTTTTGTTTCATGATTTGCTAGATCCAACTTAATACTGCAAAATTCTGTTTGCAGTTGTCACCCATCTAGCATGGTTAAGTTTTCCAGGATTTTTCCAGAAACCGAATGGATAATAACCTGTAAATACTGCTGTGCACATATCAAGTAAATATTTTTAGCTGGAACTAAGAGTTTTTTGATAAAAATAGATCAAATATTGCTAAATTACACTTATAACTTTATTTTTAGCATTTTGAACACATTTTTTGTTTATTTAAATTTTGTAATTTTGCAACTTCCTTATAAGTCACTCTTTTGTTACCTTTTTTTTTTTTTCTGAAACTAAATAAGTAGATAAAAATCAATTTTTATTTTCTTATTGAATTTTTTTTTAACATTTATTTTAAATACCTATTAAAAAATTTTATATACCTTTAAATTTAGTTCAAAATCCAAATTCTTCTGAGCAAATTACCATGCCAGAATCAAGTCAAGGTGAAGGTGTGTATGATGTTACGGCAAACAGAGAAAAAAACTTGAGACAAACAGAAAAAGGAGTATTTATTCCTACGGTAGATTGGGTGAGTAATAATGTTTACTTTTTTCTTTAACATTGAACACCCTGAGGGCTTAAATGTTAACTTATCGAAATTATGGAATATTAGTTTATCAGAGTTTATTTGTTTATTGCAACTAAAAAATGCTTTTATTTACCACATTTAAAGGTTTGAAGGAAAAAAAAAATTTAAGGAAAAAATACATTTTTCTTCTCTGTAGAAGTGATTCCATGGCCTTGGAAAGATTTTAACTTATAACTGCAGATTTATTTCTGCCCTATCTTGTGTTTTAGAGTATAGAATTATATATTTTTTTAATTATTTGAATATGAAAAATATGAGTCTATTCTACATCTTTCTACATCAGAACTCGTGTGTAAATGTGTATACTGAACCTCCTTCCTTTT